CCACACACGGTGTCGCCTTTCGTTTCGTCCTGCGAGACGCTTAGCATAGAGTTTCTGGAGATCATTCAGCTTTGCTAATTTTTCTTTTCTTTCTTTCTTTTTTTGTACCAATACATTGTTCTTGTTTTTTTACCGAATAAACGTATATTGCTGATTATCTTAAAAACGCTTGACTCCTTTTATTGTTTGTTTCTCTCAATTGATCTTACAGTAGTGTCTTGTTGTGGGTGCGGTAATACTTTTCATTAAGAAAAGAAAATTATAAAAAAAAATAAAAAATCATAGGTCAACAAAGTGAAAGTGTGCTTATATATGACCTCAAAATTAAATTTTTTCGTTCAAGTAAACCTTCTCTCTCTCTCTCTCTCTCTCTCTCTCTCTCTCTCTCTCTCTCTCTCTCTCTTTCTCTTTTTGAAACGATGACGAACCAAAATTATGCACTACTGACGAAATGAACCGATAAAAATTTGGCTGCTGTGCCAATAACTATACTCCCAGAGTTGTTGGATATTTATTTCCGTTACCGCGTACCATGGAAGTTATGTCGAACACAGTAACTTTCTTTTTCATGATGCGTGATAATTTCGTCTCGAATAAAGGAAGCGGGAAAAATATAACGAGATATGAGAACGGACTAACGTATATTATAACGTTTGATGTAGAGCGCAGTTTGACTACATTTTTATATAAATAAAATTGCATTTTCGACAAAATTATAAATTGATTTAGTTAAAAACATTACAAATATTAATACATTTCATGTACGTTCGTTTATTATTTGATTATTTCTTTGTTACGATTACTCGTTGATCTCAAACTTATCCTAATCGATCTCTTACATTGATATTTACAATATCATGGTTTTTTAATAAAATCATTGAATCGTGATATGAATTTATCGTTTCATAACACGATTTATCGTTAAATAAATAAATAATTGAAAAATTAATAAGTTCAAGAATCAATGTAATCTTTATCTAAGTCATTAGATTGTGTGTCATAATTTGTAAATATTTTCAAAAAGATAACAAAAATATAAAAATTTGCAATGTTTTAAAATACAACAAAAAATATCGTCATTTTCAGTGAAGAAAAAGGTCTCAGCACGATCATATATCTCAAAGAATGAATACAAACGCTTGCTCTACTGGTTCGTTCCGTCTAGTCATGATTCAGCTGTCGTAATTTATATTTTTCGAGGGTTAGACCTACGTAGCCGTCATCGATCCGCATTAGAAAAGGGACGGATGTAATTGCACGTCGACCATAGTTCGGTCAAAATTCTGTCCAGCTGTTCGAGGTTACTGAACTCTGCTGTAACAAGGCCGAAAAGACCCGTTTATATTTCTACTAAATTTCAATCTTTTCGTTTCTTTGTATATTAGCGTTAAAATTATATAATTCAGTTAAATCGGGGAAATCCTAGGTTATACCTGAAATAACTAAACATTTGTGGGAAAGAGGATATACAAAAAAATATGTTTTTAAACTAATAGTTTTAAGAAATAACGGGGATAAATACGAATCCACGAGAGGCGAGTAAGTAAAGTATGAAATTGAAATTTGATCCGTCTTTAAAGTTTGCTTTCTTTCTATAACAATGCTCATAGTTATTCATTCTTATATTTTCCTGTATTCTGAAAACCAATGTTCTGTTAGTCATGCTGTTCTACCCGATCTAATCTACTGATCAAATTTCAATTTCATACTTTAACTGATATCTTCTCCTGAATTCTTATATTGTCTAGTTGAAATATGTAATTCTGCTTTTTTTCATATTTAAACAGATCAGTATAATTAATTTCAGTGTTTAGCTAGTCATTTCACGAATTAATGGATTTTACACAGTAACGCTAACATGTACATACATACACATAACGCGATGGAGAAGAACGCGAAGCTATTTTAAAACGGTAACCCAGCTTCAGAAGTAAGAGTATTGAAGAAGTAAGTAACGGTAACGATAAAATTGAAAAACATTTATGAATAATCCATTTTTTGACGCGAACGCCGCTGATTAACGGTCAATTTTCCTATGTAACAAACGAAACATTATATTAAGAGAACGCTAACTTTTTAATAAAAAATAGCTTCCGATAAAATGAGGTATGTATCATCGAGAAATGAAGGAATCGTATAAATATATTAAGAAATACAAAGTAGATAAGTTTCTATATAGGATGTAATATAAATACATGTTAATATTTCAGGGGGTATATCTACACAATAAACAAGTAAAAAAGCCATATAAACATATACCCAATAAATTATTAGTTTTCAAATTATAAGTGATTAAATAAAATATTCCAAATGTGCGCTTTTTGCACAAACTATTTGTATAATCGAATGATAACATTCTACGATCCGGAATTTTACGTACCGGGAAGTTTTCTTACAATTAGTAAAGTCGACATACGTTTAGTTTAGTTTTGTTGGCATGGCTATAGATAAAATGGATGTCGATCATTTCAGCGTAAGTATACAAAACCATTTTGTCGATTTTAGAACGCTATTGACTGCTGCTAACACTATTAGTAAGAATAAGAGGTATTGACTACGCAAAATTTTGAATGTTGTATATGTCGATAGAAAATATTAATATAAACATTAGATAAAATCAAAATATATTACATAGGACGTACATCAGGTTGTATTAAGGCAAGAGGCGAGCACTTCGAACTCTTTAATTATCCGAACCTTGAAAATTAAGGAATATTAAACATATATTTATATGACACTTTTTACTTTTTTTATTGTATAGATATATCTTTTGAAATATTGATATACGTTTATGAAATATCCTGTATAGATAGAAATAAGGAATGTGTCTATATTTTTCTCTTTCTCGTATGAAATTATCGAACGCTCTTCGACTGGATGACAGACTTGAAAAGGGTAGTAAATCGATTAAGCAGTCACGTAATTGTCGCAATACCTCGCGCTAATTACGAGCCAATCATTTAGCTTGATATTGCGTGTCGTGAGAAATACTTTCGTATAACTTTACGATGAATATACAATGTGTACCTACATTCTTAGTAAATACGTATGCATGAATAAGCGTAATGAAAATACCTTTGGAAACTTGATAATTATTTTCAGGACGTAGCGCGGGAAATTTGAAAAGTATCACAAACGCTGACGAAGTTCTTGCATTAGAGTTAGTCTAAAGAAGCCTTCCATATTGTTTCCTCGATCAACGGTCTACTTACATACGTAATTATGTACTTAGATACATATATATATATATCTTATGAACTCTTACGTAAAGTAAATAGAAATTGTTGCTGTCGCATGTGTATAAAAATAAAATGGAGGAATAGTTATAGATATGTGTCGCGTGTGACTGGCATCATCAAGAATTGAATAAAAGCAAGTATAGTTCCTACCTTTCTTTGTCTCTTTTATTTTTCTAGAAATAAGTTCTTTCCGTAACGGCGAAGTCTCGATCGATGAGCAAGTTTTGCGCTGCATCGTTCCTCGGTTGTGATACTAGAGAACACATTTAGAAAGCCTGACCGATCGATATAACTTTATGTCCGCGGATACGCCTTTTCTTCTCTCTCTCTTTCTCTCTCTCTCTCCCCCTCTTCCCCTCTCTTTCCCTCTCTTTTTTTCTTTATCTTTCTCTTTCTCACTTTCATTGACTAAATTTTGGTCTGCCCCCCTTTTTTCTAAGCAGAAACCTCACTGAAATAAGTTCGTAATATCTCGAGTTGAAAAACAAAAAAGCTCAGGGTAAATATTTAAGTATACGAGATCATTAATGCGAGAAAGAGGACCTCAATTCCAAATAAATAGGCATTTGTGAAAAAGTTGACCGTAAGGCCCTGAATAGTTTAATGGTTAGAGCTGTTGCCCAGTATGGGGCAGACCCAAACTAATGTCCCTTTTTCATCAACACAACGGCTCAATTTTTCTACGAATTCTACATAATTTTATATATTTATTTTGTACAAAGTATACCTATTGACTGAGATTTAACGTATAAATATGCAATTACAGAATACAAATTCGTGGTATACAGGAATACCTTCTTGGTTTATTAAAAATAATGTGGTACGTTCAATGCTCATTAAAAAAATGAAAAATAGATAATGATTTTAAATAAGGAATGATAAAGTTGAAATATATGAAGCCAAATATAAGATATTTTTTATTAGAGGGAAAAAGTATCTATGGCAGCCATTACCACGAGAGAAAAAAGAAAAAGATAGAATTGGCATCGGTGACATTGCTTTGCTGTAATGGGTGTGACCATGTGGCAATCAGTACAGAGAACTAAACTGACGTTTATGTATATGAGAAAGAGAGAGAGAGAGAGAGAGAGAGGGAGAGAGAGGAAGAGAGAGAAAGAGAATGGGAAGTAAGTAGAAGCTCCATTGATTGGTTGCCAGCATGGAGGAAAGTTGCAGCTACCCCGGGGGTATATGAACCCCGATATAGTTCTCTCTCCGTCTCTTTCTCTCCGTTCGCGTTTACCCTCGGTACGACTTCACCCCACAGCAAAACGCAGGCGCGTCACATGGACCCAGAAACGATCAATACCTAAGGTTTCACTAGACCTGCCGATCTCTCTCTCTCTTTCTCTCTCGCTCTCATTCCCTTTCTCACTTTTTCAGTCTCCTCTCTTATACTTTTTACACCCCCACACCGATAGTGAATGCAAATTAGTAAATCTTTGATATTTCAATGGTTAGTCTTCCAAAATTTTTCAATATAAAAAAGAAATGAAAAAGAAAACCAATATTCTAGAAGAACGTTTTATTTATTTTAGGGGATCACAGAAACGTTCAAATATATTTATATTCGATTTATAAGAACTCAAAGATAAAAAATGAAAAGCAAGGTCCCGATCGGATTGTTAATTTGATTTCTCTTATCATTTAAAATTCTTTCATCAATAAAATTTTCTCCATCGGCTAATCGCAAGATACGAAGTAAAGGGGGCAAGAAAAGGAAGAGGGTAATTTATAAAAGCGAACTTTTTTTCCGCTTACACTTTCATTTCTCACGCACCGTTTTGATCAGGGCTGTCACGACCGGAAGTATCCCTCTCGAGACTTCCCGCTTGTCCTCGAGAAGGAGCCACGGTGCCGGTTGATCGAGGACTCGGTCCATCGTGGATCCGGATGAAGCCTTGCACATGCTCTGGATGCTCTCCATCTTGTTTACTACTTTCTTTTTTATTCTCTCTCTCTCTTTTTCTCTTCCTCGTTTCTATATATTTATCTATCTGTTTCGTTTTGTATTACTTTGATTATTCGTATCATATTTTCTTTTTAATCCTTCTTCTCCTTCTTTGTTTCCCATTCCGAATTTATGAGAAAGACTGACGTAAGACTCATTCTACGAGTTCATTTCTTTTTCCTCGAAGGATAAAAAAACTATCATAGTTTGATAGGTGAGACGATGTTTGGCATGGCGTTCTTCGATTATAAAACAAAGATGTTAGCGTCAGTCTGAATCGCGTTTTCGTACTCGCCCTTTCGGGGTGCCACGCCCTAACTTCTGCGAGATACAAAGTTGCACCGCGGCGAGCGACACCTCACGGGTTAAATCTCTCTCCTCTGATCGACGTACGCTGATTTTTTTTGTCGATGTCTACAGCACGATATCGTCGAAACGTCTAACAAAAATTAGCGTTTTGCTTAAATATTTCAATTTTCCTTTTAACAATGACACAGTATAATAAGGGATCTATTATAAAATGATCATTTATCATAAATAATACATATATAATTAAAGAAAAAAAAAATAGGAAAACGAACTAAAGTCGCCGTATCAGCGAATCGGCGATCAAGGAGAGACGATTGTATAAAATACAATATGGCGAATGGAAGACACGTCTCTGCCGGCACCGATGAAAACGGCAGCACGTTCAATAATAATACATAATCAACGATATATGCAATCATAATAATGTAATGACAATAATAATAATAATAACAACAACGATAATATAACGAGATAATTAATGATAATAATAATAACTCGAGTTTAAGGTTAATAATAGGAAGTACATAATAATAATAATAATAATAATAATAATAATAAACAACGAAAGTAAAGAAAGAAACGAACATACCGGTTAACGATGAAAATCAGTGGTTGGAGGATGCCGATATCTGGGCGTAGAACGGAACGACGACCGGGTTATAAGACGTTTCTTTTACCGGCGACGACGACGAAGACGACGATGACGACGACGACGGCCTGACGATGACGGCCTGACGACGAGCTGCCGTCGAGTTGGCGGGGGTAACGACGTGGACGATACAATAAAGCGTTTTTAATCACGACGATTGATGGATGGTTTTTTGTGTGAGACGATTTTGTTTTTTATTCATAGACGCGAATTTGTAAAATAAACAATTTCTGGAAAATGTTGTCAACGCTCGTTAACCTTTTGACTTCTCACGAAATACATATAAAATACGCGTCTCTAAAAGAATCCCTCTTTCTTCTCCTTAATACGCTTCTTTTATAATAATTAATTTTAATCTAATTACTTTTTCTATATCCTTTGTCACTAACCGCCAACGGAGAGGAAGAAAGAAAAAAAAAAAGATGAAGAAAGAAGAGAAACGAGAAAACACGTTCGTCCCCGCCGGTCGGTCCTCTTCTTCTATCTCAATTTTTCAATGCACAAATTTTTTTCGCCACCTCCTTTCCTTTCCCACCACACTTTCTCCTCCTCCACCTTCCGTGATAAACTCCTCTTGGTATCTTCACGTGATCGAAGAAGAAAATCTTCTGGACGAAGAATAATAGGATTGTCTTTGCGAATATACAAGAGAGAAATATCAGATTTTATCTCTCTCTCTTTCTTTACCTCTTTCTCTGTTATTCTTTCTCCTTGAGATCGGCGATGATGTGATGAAGAGAGGTCAATGATCGAAAACTGATAACCGACTTCCGTAAAAACGGATAAAAGCGAGGAGCGATGACGAAGCTGAGAAAATGGGAGAGAAAGGTGCAAGATGATTGATCGAAGGTAATAAATATAATAATAAAATTGACGAATTTGAGATTAACACCGTGGGCACGCGGAAGTCAAATTCACACAGCACACACGCGCGTGAGCGATTTTTTGACGTTCTTTTTTGGAGCTTAACTAGTTTCTCTCTCTCTCTCTCTCTTTTACTTTCTTTCGTTTTCGCTCTCACCCTTTCCGTTTTGATCGCGAACAAGATCTCCCTTCTCTTCGTACGTAGTTGAACGATGATACAATTATTTTCTTTTTCTGTTTCTTTTGTTAGTATTTTTCTTAAACTGTAAGAATGACGACGACGACGACACAGTGACGACGACGATGACGACGACGACGGCGACGGCGACGGCGACGACGACGACGACGACGACAACGAACGACGACGATATTTTATGTATTTTCAACGTGCACGAGCGTATATATAAATGTGTATAGGGTGTGTGGGGTGTGTTGTGTGTGTGTGTGTGTATTTGGGTGTGTAATGGGTGCGCGCGCGCGTGTGTGTGTTATTTATACATATATATATATATACACACAATTATATGTTATACATCGAATTAAAGGATCAAAAAATGAGAAATATGTAGAATCAAAGATTAAGAATGTTGTGGGTTATAACGGTGTCTACAACGCAATGCCTTTATGTGGTGCGGTAACTAAACTGAGGAGTCTAGGCTCTGGTGGTACCGGCTGCACCCTTCGGACACCGCCAGCATCACCACCACCTCCACTTCCACCACCAATAGTACCACCCCCACGACCCTGAACGAAAGAGGGGTAGAAATTTAAGAAAAGGGGTGTATGCGCGTATTCGTTTGTATATGTTACATATATATAGATATATATACACGATACATACATACACGATAGACTACATCATACGAAAGAAACAATAAAAAAGAAGAAGCTAGGTGATAATGATAACGCGCAGGCGTTCGAGATCGGGAAGAAAGAGAAGAGAGAAGAGTCGGACTCGGGATAGCCGAGTTTTCAATTTCACGAGTTGGCAAACCTGGCTGGTATAGGATAACAGGAGAAGATTTTACCCTCGATAACGACTATCGTGGGGTGAATCGTGAAACGAGGAGGGTGACGTACGGTTTCTAGCATTCCATCATTTGTGATCTTCTTTCTATTGTTCTTTTTCACCCCTTCTTGTCCAATCTCTCTTCACCTCCTACACAGTCAATTGCAATTTATGAATTAATGTTTCATAAATTTATAATATTATATCTTTCGATTCGATCTAGAAAATAAACGCTCTTTATGATAGAATTCATTTAATTTTTTCGAAAAATAGAGCTTTCGTTGAATAAAAACAAGAAAGAGAAATAGCGAGAGAGGATTGTTCGCATGCGCAGACAAAGTCGTCGAAGGTTGGAAGTTCGTTTTTAAGGAAACTAGAGCTTGCATGTACCGCGGATCGCCGAGCCGCTTAAAAGCTGGTGGTAGTAGTAACTGGTGGAGGAAAAGTAGGAGAGGGCAGTATTGGGTACTCGTCTGCGCAAGCGTCGAAGTGAAAATTGGCAAAAGCTTTGGCAGGGTGTTTCCTGCGCCCTCGTAAAATCATTTCCCGGTCGTTACGGACCGCCCAAATTTTTATGTCTTTTCCTGCTTTTAACAAGCTAATCGGATATTCTAAAATGAGGACGATGGCCAGCAAATAAATTCAAATCCAGATTAATCGATTTCTCATAAGAACAAGAAGCCTAATGCAAGTTACCCCGAGCTAAGAGAATATCGACAAATTTATATCCGAAATTAAATTTACAAACAAAGAGATTAAAAAATTAATTACGATGTGAAAATGAGCATCTTCATTCCAAATAAATAAATATTCGTTTGACCGAAGCGGCTCAATGATTAGAACAATCGCCCGGAAAGCGGGAAAAACCCGGCTTTGCGTTCCGATTCAGACAACCCAACGGCCCAATTTTTTCACGAATCCTAAAACGGTATTGTTACACAATTAATCGTTATACTACATTTTTAAACATGTTCAATTTATTACTGCCCACGATTTATTATTTGCCCTGATACTTTCGTTAGGATTGAACGCTTTATGAAGTTTGTTGTGCCAGCTCTTGAACCCCTCGTTCTCTACTTCCTACGCCACTGGGCTCGTCGACTCCAGTTGGAAGGAGGGGAAGCATCAGACAGCAGAGGGGTTTCAAATATCGATCTCCCGCGTTCTACCAGTCATTCACTCTCGCGTGTGTGAAATGAAACATACACATGGATATTCCGAATTGGCGAAGAGAGAGAGAGAGAGAGAGAGAGAGAGAGAAAGGCGGTGGGGAGATTGGGAGGGGAAGCATTCACCAGAGAATCCCAGGTAAAGCTCAGGGGAAGAGAGTAGACGACAGCCAACCAGGAACTACCAACGACACAGCTCGTCCAGAAAAATGTCATGCTAGCTGAGAACTCTGGGCTCCGTGTCTCTACACCTACGCAGACTCCCTCGTACCTTCTCACTCACCCTCTCTCTCTCTCTCTCTCTTTTTTTCTTTTTCTTTCTGTTTTCTCTTCCTTCACTATATATCGTGTATTTCACCCGTTTGCGCTTGTGTCTTCCTACTCCGAGGGTTGCTCGAAACTACGCGCATGCGCACATTACGTTCAACATCGCTTTACTTTCGAGCTTTTCCACCCCTTCTTCTCCCACCCTTTTTCTCTTTCTCTCTGGCTTTCTTTTTTTTTTTTTACGCAAATACGATGGACGAAACTTCACGCGCTTTCTTCGAAGATTATCTCGCGCATCTGCAAAAGGCGCAGACTGTACGAGGGTAATCTGTAAATTGTATCAGTGATTCTCAAATCATTTTTTCACCTTCGACCGAGATCGCATTAATTTCCTACTTTATTGTTAAATAGATGATCTAAATCGTTCTTTTGAATTTATAAAAGAGCGTTTTTGGTCAATTGTAATGGAATATTTTGAAATTAAATTTAATAATAATTCAATGTTTACACCAATAGATAAACACGTGTTATGATATTTTCTACATTCTTCATTAAGTTAAGTTTAGATATGAAAGTTAGACTATAAACATATTTAAATGAAAATAAATGAATTTTTCAAAAGAGAGGATCAAAAGTTTATTATCAAAATCTAAAAGGATAGTACAATAAATTTAGTACAACTAATCAAAAGAAGAACTCGTAACTCGATCTATGAGATTTTATCAGGAAAGAATCATTAAAAGTGATACGATCGAATGTAAAGCACCGAAAAGCCCATCAAACTTTGCCAACTATTGTGCCTATAATTTTGACAAAGAGTCAAATCAACGTGAAAATTATAATTAGTATATACCTTATTTATCTATATTTACAATTTTTGTAAAAAGACACTTATGATTTAAGGAAACAATCTAGATAATGAATAACATAGCGGTTCGTATATCGATTTAACAGAACCAAGGAAACCATCGTTGATCCTGGGTGGACATAGTGTCGCCAAGTCTGTTTGCTAGCGTAGTCCAGTTCGGTATAGGAGGCTCTCGGCAACAACTCTGAAAATGTCTGACGGTGGAGAAACTGGTACGTAGTACTTACGCACGCGATCATAATTTTCTTAAGAAGATGAAAATTTGAGCTTCGATCACACATTTCGTGCCGGCTCTAACCTGTCTGTTATTCTACTGTTCAACGAAAATAAGAAAGAAAGTAAAGATCTAAGATAGGATCCTTCGCTAAAAGAGATCGATCGAATTGACGAAAGAAAGGGAAAGAGAGAAAAGGTGAGAGTGTGTGTGAAGCCGTCGAAAGGGTCACGCGAGGAGAATCATCGGTTGATGCGGTCACGTGCTCCACCCATTGCACCCTGACATTTGGCAACTACTTTCGCTCGTGCATACATAGTGAAATATCCAACAAATATCGCAACGAAATTGTTCTATCAAAGCATTAGCTCTAGACCTCGAGTTTCATATTACTAAAATAATTTAAGATTATTGAGAATCAAATGTGACATCTAGAATAAATTCCTCTGAGATATGAACAACCTTTGATAAATAATCAAGATAGAAAGTTTGAGATTAGTTTAATACATCCAATCCTATGTTTTGAATATCATGCAGATTTTTGAAATTGAATTTTTTGAACACGCACCGAGAAGCTTGGTCGTCGTTTCTACGATCAAGACCCACCTTCAGACGAGTCCATTGTCCAACGTTATACCATTGATCAAATACGCAAAAGTTCATACAATGATATCGTACTTTTTTACCTTTCTTCGTGAATTATTGACGATTGTATCTAGAGGTCTTGACGCAAGAATGTTATAACTCGACGAACTACTCTTAGCTCTTCTTATTCCCTCCATCAAGATTACAGACACTGACCTCAAACACTATCGTCATCGAGCGTAATATTTACGCTGCCTATCATTTAATAGAAATAGATTCCTGGTAATTTCTGTCTCTGCATTCTAATGATAGAATCTTTTCTAAATAGAATATGAATTTTTATTTCAATTCTTTTATAAAGAAGAACTAAAACTGGCTTGAAAATCGAGAGGAAAATTCCAACTACATTTAGAAATGTTATTTAAATTACATTTATAATATTAGAACTGTAGAATTAAAATTGATGTTGTCGAGATATTATTCGTTGCACATACTAATCAAGCTTACGCGTTACGCGGTTAATATGATGAAAGTAATGTATCTTTGTCTAACAATATAGTAGGTTCATTGATTATTTTAGATTTACGAGAAAATTCGTCTATTGTTTTATAGCAAAATCTTAAATGTGTTTGCATTATATTTTTATTAGTATTTATATTATGTATATTAGTGAATATAATTGAAAAGATTGCAATTATTAGATACTTCCGATGAATTATTAAAAAAGATGAAAGAGCACGATTTGCAAGAAGAAGAGAAATGTGAGAAGTTTTTAAAAAGAGAGTCCACCAAAAAAGAGAGATAGAGAGTTAGTTTGTTTTTTAGATAGATAGTTATATATATATCCCCAAAAAAGGAAAGTACTATGAAGTACATAAGATGTGCACGTGTGCTGCAATATACAGCCCTCCTTAACCGGTCGCGTTCAAAACAAAAGAAAGAAAAAAATGTTCTCCGGAAATTTAAAAATACGTAATGTTTGATAAGTAATCCATTTTAATTGTGTCGCGTCATTTGGTGTAATATTGTAAGAGTGATCTTATAGACTAATGCATGTATAAATATTAAAAGTAATAGTGTCAACTTCTCTGAATCGCATTCGGCCTCGATTAGCAGCGAGAAGGTGTTTAAGAATTGATATTTTGTCATAGTTCCCAATCCATGGCAATTTCGAAAGGTTTTATATTGTTTTCGGATGAATCTCTACTATCATGCTCGGTTGATTGTAACATATGTCCCAAAAAACGAAAATACTGAAATAAAAAGTATATAAGGTAAGCACGTGTACTTCAACAATTGATAATCGGTAGTTCGTCGAATGTGATAAAATCGAATAAACCATATAGAAGTAGAAAAACATATATTTAGATCACTCTTACATTAGGATCCTCTTAAAAAGATAATACGTTTTAAAACACACAAAGAAATAACCTTGAGTCACGAAAAGATGTTAAAAGTAAGTTTCTCACATACTCCATCGTCTCTACATTCGATAGCTTCTTTACCTTTCTATCGCTACGATTCGGATCGTCGTAGTTTTCGTGACTTGGAACAACTTTTACTTTAACCTTCTCACTGAGAAACAAGATAGTCCCGTCGAGAGGTCTTGAACGAGAAAGGAGATCGGTTGACGCCTGGCAGCCACGCGAGAATCCATGACGGAGTGATCCGCCCTGACTGGAATCACCCACACGAAATCACGAACTTCCCAGATTCTTTTTTGGTATAAGCACGAACACGAGAGGAAACGTGAGGATCCGCCGTTTAGTTTGAAATCTAAACTGAGATCGGTATTTCTCGTTATCATGTAGATAGGTTGGTAGGCGGTTAACACCTAACATGCTTCCCGAGTTGGCCGAAGCCTTCAGTCTCTCGCCGTGTCTGCTACCTGGATAATCTTAACAGAGCTTATTCACGCGGTTAATGGCCTTTCACGGGGAAGGACGCGATCCTTTAGAGCACACCAGTCTCTATCAAAGAGCCGGTTAGACGACAACTTCAATTGCGTGTGATATTTCGTTATTAAAAATAAAAAACGAGTTTCGAAACGTTTCTATATTATTATTTCGGTTATTTCGTAACGACGATCATAATGATAGATTTTAACGATACAATAAATTTTGAATAAAATTGGTTTCAGAAAGCGAGGACAGTGATGCCGAAGGTGGTTTGGGAAACGTAAATAAACTTGTAATACGTCCGCCCGGTCATAGTGGGAAAGCAAAAAAGGGACACATCTGTTTCGATGCCTCATTTGAAACCGGTAACTTGGGTCGGGTGGATCTTGTTTCAGAGTTCGAGTACGATCTTTTCATAAGACCGGATACCTGCAGCCCGCGACTTCGCCTGTGGTTCAACTTTACCGTTGACAACGTAAGATCCAATCAGCGTGTTATATTCAACATAGTGAACATATCTAGAAGTATGAATCTCTTTCAAATCGGCATGGCACCGTTAGTTAAAAGCACCGGCAGACCAAAATGGCAAAGGATACCTCAGGATCAGGTACAACTTATGCTCGCATTTTATTCTCAAGGATTTAATATCATTTAACAAGCATTTGTAAAATTTATTTTTACAGCTTTTTTATTACAAATCACCGCAACATCAGAATCACTACGTGCTCAGTTTCGCGTTCGCTTTCGATCGAGAAGACGATGTCTACCAATTTGCTTTAACTTATCCGTATTCATATAATCGGTATCTCGGGCATCTGAATAATCTCAGTACCAAGATAGCCTATGTTCACAGAGAAACTTTAGCCACCTCGATTCAGAAGAGGAAGGTTGACCTGATCACCATAACATCCGATACGAACAACGGTCGGGAATTAGCCCGGAAAGTTGTGGTAGTACTTGCGAGAATTCATCCAGGCGAATCACCGTCCTCTTACGTTTGTCAAGGCCTCATGGATTTTCTAGTCAGTACTCATCCGATCGCTCAGGTTCTCAGGCATTACGTGATATTTAAAATTGTGCCAATGATCAATCCCGATGGAGTTTTCCTCGGCAATTATAGGTAATTATGTCAATATCTCATCGTTACAGTTAAATTTATCTTCAAGCGTACGAACTTATAGTCATTTTACGACAGATCTACGTTGATGGGTATGGATTTAAATCGAAATTGGAATTGTATATCAGAATGGATTCATCCAACGCTATCGGCAACCAAATCGATGTTAGAATCCCTAGATAAAAACACACACACACCATTAGATTGCGTTTTGGATTTGCATGCACATACAAACGCAACTGGAGTCTTCGTTTATGGGAACACATACGAAGACGTATACAGGTAATTCTAATTATTCTTTAAATTATCTCTAAAGATTACAAATGCCTTGCGAATGAAAGACATCATTTCTTTATACGACCCTCGCTTTGCGTATCACAATCTAACACCACGGCTGCCAGCCCCTTAGGTACGAAAGACATATTGTCTTACCAAAATTGCTAGCTCAACATACAGAGGACTACAACTTAGGAAACACGATGTATAATCAAGATCCTCACAAAGGTGGGACATCCCGTCGATATCTATGCTCCATTCTAAAGGAACATGTCAATTGTTATACCGTACAAGTGTCAATGTATGGCTATTGTAGGAAAGGAACATCAAGTATTTTACCATATACAGAAGAAAGTTGTATCCTTTCGATGTAACACAAACAAATGACATTATCCTTGCCTTTGATTAGATTATAGAATAAGAGGTATGAAACAAAGTGAAATTCAAATGTTCTTCCTTAACTGTTGATTTCAATAATAGACTACAGAGTCGGTCGGAATCTCGCACGAGTATTTTTAGAATATTACAAGTTAACCGGTCTGATACCGTGTGGACTTCCAGATCAACCATCGAACAAGAGTAATCGACAATCTCGTCAGAGACATCACGTATCAAGGCAGCCACGTTCTAAAATGGTCAGGACACCGGCTCCTTTGCATCTAGCTAGCATTCACGAGTACGTAAACCATGTCCTCGTAAGGAAGGAGAACAAGGGAATGAGATCGATCGATGTGAATGTTGTTTCTTTGTCATTTCGCATCACCGTCACCATCATCCTTATGAAAATTCGTGGGGTTTAACTTTCAGGTACTTCCGGGAGGACATTGAGCCGCTCCCGAGTGCTCGTTACCGATCGATGAGCGGCACGCGTATGAGCCGGGCTGAAATTGCAATTGGAACTGGAACTGAAAGCGGAACTGGAATAGGAAGTGGAAGTGGAACGACGGGCGTCAACGGATGCAGGTACCAGAGCCACAGGTTCCGGAGCCCCGGGGCACCGCTCGACAGGGTGCAAGCTCCAACAAGACGACCCACCGAGCCGAGGCTTACCATTATCGATTTCAATCAGCTGACAAGAGGCGGTTTGGAACTGGCCATGAGTAAGAACAAGATTAATCGTCATCGCGGTCGCTTTAAGCTCCAATAATAAAAATATGAAAGGAAATCAAATTTTGTTCTTTCGTTGACTCGCTTTGACGTATCACACGTTACAAAGACATCCTCCATCTTTTTTACTGCTTTTTTTTTAATATAATAACATCTATATGTAATAAAAAAAACTGTAGATTACATAAATTTACATTGTACTGAGGAATTTGATAATATATCATAACAATATTTTAACAGATTGCTAATTAAATGTGATCTAAAAAATAAATCATGCGAAATATATTATTTAATATTTAGAAAGAGATGTATATAAGCTCTTTAACTTGGAAAATCTTGACAAAATTAATTCGGTAATAATACTCACATTGAAACTAATCGTAAGTTTTGGAATATATGATTTGTAAGACGTGAACGTAAACATAAAAACTGGATAGATAACAAACACAACAAGATATTAGTTAAAGATAATGCATTTATTTATACATACCTGGTTGCGGCAATTACGTTCCTAAAACTCAAGCAATCTGCAGTCGATGTAAGAGCATTAGATGGACAGAAGACGCAGGTACTACGTGAGACGGTACACCTTAACGACGTACAGGACTTGTAAGAATACGCGGTTGCGTCAGAGTTGCGTTATATCGTTATTAACAACGATATGAGACGACGACGACGACGACGACGACGACGACGACTACTTCGACGAATTGTAAAGATGTTACCAAAATCGTACCCGTAAATTCAACCACGTAAATTAAGAAAGAAATCGATGGTAGTACATTCACGCGCCCTTTCTTCTCCCGTTCTTTATTTTTATTTTTTAACCAGCGTACAACATTATACGTTTTTTCCAAAGTGTGTGATGCGCGCGCGCGTGTATTATTAACGTATGTATACGTATATACGTTCCCACGTGTACATATATATCTTTTATATATCCATATATATATGCTTCTCTTTTTTTTTTTTTATTATGTATGTAATATATGTATATGTATATATATATATGTATACGTCAGTCAATCGGAACTGAAGAGGAACTAAAACGGAAAGAAATGAAACTATAGCGAAAGAAGGGAGCAGACAAGCGACCAGTAGATCTTCTACCCCTGGGCTCGAGACGGAACTGGCCCGTGGGCCGACGGACTTGAGACCTCGCCTGGCTGTTTTCCCTCCCTCTTATTCCCACCCTACATATCCTCCCTCGATTCGTACCAACCCTCTCCTCAACCCGGCGAACCCATCAACGCCCTTTTACTCTCTCTCTCTCTCTCTCCCCCTCTCTTACTCTCCCCTACCTATTCTTTCTCTCTCCCTATTTCTCCCAAACGAAGCTCCCGGTACTTTAGGGTCGGGCAAGACCAGGGCGGTGGTCGTTGAACCAAGTATATAGACGAACTGTCTGCGTCGAACTAGTTGCGCAAGACACGCTAGTATCATCTCTCTCTCTCTCTCTCTCTCTCTCTCTCTCTCTCTCTCTCTCTCTCTCTCTCTCTATCTATCTATCTATCTCTCCCTATCTCTCTCTATAGTTACGTCTCTCACGCATTACCCTCTTTCTATCTCTCTCACTCTCTCGTTCGTTCACTTCCACCCCTTCATTTCCCCAGGAAAAGCTACTAACACACGTATAATCGAGCAACGAAACACGCATACACACACACACACACACATAAACAATAGGATGCAACTTCAGTTGGTTAGATTCGTGCGTATGCGGCCTTTCCGGCCCATCCTACTTTGGTTGCACTAGCGACCACCGACGACCATCACCACCACCCACCCACCCACTCACCATATTTTCTCCTTATGTACTTGTGCGTCTTGTCAACTTTGGGCGAATCCACACGAACCCAGGGAATGACTGTACTTTGGGCGGAGACCGATCCCGACCACCCAGGATAACGTTTACCTGCCTCGATATCGAATCCTACAGAAAGAAAACTTTTACCTTTCTCTTTCTTTTTATACTTTTTCCATGTGTTCCTTTCTTTTTGGTTTGTTAACGTAAGTTTACGTAATATTTGAAATAAAAATATTCGGCCAATGACTCGCGTTAAAAACATCGTTGTTATTTCTGTTATTCAATGTGATTTAGATAGTTATTCATTAACAGAATAGATATTCATTGTTGATACTAGAAATTAATTGATATAAGATTTTTCTTTTTTTTTTTTTTAATTCCTAAACTACGAAGTTTAGATTAAATAATTAATTGGACTCAATCACTCGACTCTGGTTGATAGTATATTACAATTATTTTGAAATATTGCGTTAAGTTAAATAGTCGATACATGACATCGTAAAATTTATTGAAGAGAAACAAGAGCTACACCTGTATCCTGGAATTATGGCTCTATCTTGTGATCATATTGAAAGGCTAACTCATGTTAGATCGGTCAAACGAGACTCCAACGTTATCGATATGGAATACAAAAGGAGATACTATTTTATTTTAAAAAAAGAACACGATCTCAAATAAATTTCAATTCAATTACATCGGATAATAATTATTATCTATACAACTACTTTTCAAAAATAATTTTTTAAAAATTTAACTATAGCAAACGCGAAAGTCAAGATAAATATAGTAAATTGTTTCTTTAGTCTTGAAAAAAACAATAACTTAATTCATAATAACATAATCATTCATTAAAATACTAATACTATACAAAAACAAAAACAAATATTATCAAATATTTAATAACGATAAATTCTTGAAGATATATGTATTCTAGAATTTGTTTATAATGTTACGTATGTGTATAATTTGAATGGTGAAAATGCGCATACATTTCTGAAATGATATTCTTAAATATAAATATGTAACATTCGCAGTTGCAACTTTATGTTATACTGATTTACATTTGGTAACGTCAGAAACCTCAGGAGTGTATTTGATTAAATTTTCACAAATGAATTCAATAATATTTTCCCTTATTCTTATATCGGTCAACTCATGGCTGACTTCTTTTTTTATTTTGCATCTCTCTCACCTTTCTCATCTTCATTCATCCTTCCATCATACAAACGCATTTCACATAACTATCGATCACGTATCTCACGTATCATACACAACATTACCTAGAAAAAAACCCCCCAAATTCCCTATGATACCTTCTTATTACCTAGAAACTTCCATAATCTCGTTCAACTGTCGATCGATTGTCAGTTCTATCACTCTCTCTCTCTCTCTCTCCTTTCTCTACCTACCTCTATGTTCCCTCTCTTTTCATGCATTTCATAAAATTTTATCGTTACCGTCGTCTAAAAAGTTTTACTTCAAAAACGCTGTTGATAGAATGCATAAATATTATATAACATACATTGATTGAAAACGTACTATATCATATTATGGGGAAAAAGCATTTTCATTCCAAGTAAATAGGTATACGTAAAGAGATTGACCGAAGGTCCTAAACAATGCTAACAATAAGTGGTCAGAGTAGTCGTCAGAAAATCGAAAACTTAAGATTACAAAAAATACTATTCTAGGGATTTTCTATTACAACTTGACATTAACGTATCAGAAGTATTTCTAATAATGTAGCGTTTGTAGCGAATCAGGCTTGAAATAATATTGTCCAATAGAATATTCGATCAAATAGCCGCACATGCGCAGATGAATAATTTTTTTGTGTGCATAATGCGACGATGCTTTAATATAATCGAAAATCTAAAAGCAAACGGAAGATATAGTGTAAAAAAATTAGTAACTAAAGTCATTTTTGAATGAATTGTAAACGTTAACTATTCATCTTCGAATACATGTTTAACATATTCTCAAAAACACTGCGGAAAACTTGACAGCACATATTCTCGAAAACGCGACATCTATCGCTCTTTCTGTAATCAAACTAAATACGTGCTCGAAACACGTATGGAGTTCGTTATTCCTGGGACAACCGCCATGTTTCCTGAATGAAGAGGACCATTCACGCCATTGTTCGCGTCGTACTGAATGCTGAACGGTTTATCTAAGATTTCTGGAAACTAAAAGAAAGAATTCTCCGAAGTCTGCAGGATTATTTAAATCTTTTATTATTGTATCTGTGTTGCAGCTGTATAGAACAAGAACGTTATAAATTTATCGGTAAGTACATATTAATTCAATCTTGCGACCCACATCAATCGTGGCGTGTAGTAAAGCTTTCTTTCTCTATACGAAATTCGTTTAAATATGTTCACCTAATTTTAAGATTAATTTCATTATTTCTTGTCACGATTTTGTTCCAACAATCTAATCATGAAATGTTTTATGTAGGGTTCTTTTAAATTAATAAAATAAGCTCACAATTCTTTTATATTTTTTCGATATTTAACATTTGTTTTTATATAGTATGAATTCATAATTTATTAATTTGAAATAATTAATATTGAGCCTTCTGCATTTCTTCTTAAATTATGTATTAACAAAGTTTATTGTAAAACTTTTTTCATCTGTTTTAGTGGTGCAATAAATGCGTAAACATGTATAGCAACAACATTGATCCTTGGGAACCAGGTTATGGACCAGAAAGAAGAGGGCATACTTCTGACTTTGATTACCGTAATGAGTATGGAGGCAATCGATCACCTGATTATGGAGAACATCGTGACTCAGATCATCGTGATAGAGATCATCGTAGTCCAGAATATAGAAATCATCGTGGAAGAGATAGAGATCGTGAAAGAGATCGTTCAAGGGATAGGAGAGATCGTAGCAGAGATGATAGAGATCGTAGTTATAGAGACCGTGAAGACCGTTATGGAAGGCAAAGAGATAGAGACTCTACAGAACGGGATCGTGACCGTGATCGAGACAGAGACCGTGATAGAGACAGAGAACGGTCAAGAAGGGATAGGGAAAGGGAAAGGGATAGAGAACGTAGAGGAAAAAGAGAGGACAGAGATAGAGATCGGGATGATGACCATAGTCGTGAAAGTTTGGACTTTGATCATGACCATGGTCGTGCTTATGGCTCGTCCATGGAAGGCATCCACTACAAATCTCAATCTCCCAACAACACCATAATGATTCGAGGGCTCGCGCAGCATATTACTGAAAATGACGTAGGTTGTCAACTTAAAGGCCCAAGATTGTGGCCACTTGTGAGTCAGTGTTAGAAAACATACATCACTATTATTATTATGATGTGTGTATCACAGGTGCGGCAAGACATCCTCAACTGTGGTCTCATGCCAAAGGACATCAGGCTTATTCGGAAAAAAGATACAGGTAATTATTATTTATTTATTATTTTATATCGTTCCCTTCGTAAAATGTATATTCGTATCATTAGTTCAATTTTGGAATATTTCTTCGAGTGTCATTAGAACTATATTTCAACAGCTATCTTCGTGGTATACAGATATGATAGAAATAAGAAATCAAGATTAAACTTCTATAATTGTTTTATTTTATCTTCTATTTGGAAAAAACATTTTATTTGTGATACTGATATTGTCATTTTTTTTTTACTAAATTTGAAAGATTATAAATGAGCTTCACTTATGCAGACATAACATTTTCCATATCATTCATACATTTTCAAAAGCAGTCAAATCTGCAATTCATTCATAATTGATTATGAATCGATTTTCTACTCATAATACAAAGGTAAGTTCATGACACATGCAAGAAGGATAGTCGAAGAAAATTAACTCATCGCAATTTTGTTTATTGAACAATATAAATTTTTCATTTAAAAAGAAAAAAAAACAATTTAAGCATCAATGTAATTTAAATTTAATGGCTACCAACCAATTTAGCATGTCATTTAAAATCAGGAAGTTTTAATAATTTCTATATAAATTATAATATAAAGAAAATACAGTAGGAAATAATTAAACCTATCTTCTCTCTCTCTCTCTCTCTCTCTCTCTCTCTCTCTCTCTCTCTCTCTCTCTTTCTCCCCCCTTCCCTCCTCTGTCTGTCTGCTGTATGTGTGTATACGTGAGTGCGTGCGTGCGTGCGCACATTACGTCAAAGAAGTTTCTTTTGACTTTTTTTTATTTCTTTCCAATTATATCGAGTTAATGATCGCGATAAAAAGAAAATAAGGAAAAAGAAAAACAAAAATTGAAGGCAAATAAGTTTTGTTAGGGCTGATGTTTGAAAGCAAAATTCATGTTGCGTTAAACGATTCGAGTATCGGTGAAGTCTTTCGTCAAGCAGATAAAATTCGTTCTGCTGAGCTTTAGGTAAATGGAAAAGAAAACGAAGGGACGAAGCGAAGAAACACTTCGTTCGAAAGTCTGTCAATGGTTGGTGCTGTGATTGCCTGCCCTCTCAGAGTAGAGATCTCCAGGCAAAACGTGGATTAACTTTGGATATGTGTGTATTTGCTCTGTATAGGTGCTTCGCGAGGTTTTGCATTCGTCGAGTTTAACGCGACTCAGGAGGCTGCACGGTGGATGGAGATGAAACAGGTAGAAAGAAGTTCAATCCACATACCCAACCGATGTGTTGTTCGCGTGCCACCGATGCCCCGTGGCGGCAAGGCACGGTAACGCGGTCCTTGGCCTTCCCCACGGCCATGGCTGTGCACCTATCTCAAAGGCTACTTTAATCTACCATATCTAATTATTTATCTAGGAGTCCCACTTTGCAGACTTTTCTTAACTGGCTCGCTATTACGTCTATCGGATTAATTTGTATAGAAAAGCTCGCGACGCGTGCTTTTATCTATCCTCCATCTCTCATAAAAGTTTGTGGACTAACAATGAAGATTGGAGGAGGGTCATTCCAGCCGTCTTAAATTCTAAAAATGTATATATATATATATATATATATATATTTTTATGCATTTTTGTTACACGTATGATTGTTTATGAATTAGCTTAAGCTAGTACTTGTCAAATATCCATTGGCATTTTATAATAGTGCATTAGTCAATGTCTCATTAATAGAAGATTCATCTTGCCTCATATTATTCTATTCACATAAATCAAAATGATTAAGTCTTACATTTTTATATATATATATCAATGACAAATTGATTATTTTCATAGACATAAATGATTTGTTTGTGTAATAAAAGAACAATATTTACATGACTTGAAAACTGTATGCAATTCTGTGGCTTATAATTTGCTTTTAAGTTCTATGGTTTGGCCTATTGCTTTTATATATTTTGAAAGATATTATCTTTAGATAATTGACATATGTTAAATATATCTGAACATCATGACTACATAATTTTTTTTTTGTATCTAATAGAATGAGACTGAGGAAAAAGGAAATCTTCTACCGGTATGAAATGAGCTGGTACACTATTATTGACTGTTGATCTATAATCAATAATGCAATTTATAATAAAAGATTATTACCTCAATTTTCATTTTATTATGTATTTTATGAAACAAATAGTTTCTAGTTTTTGCAATAAATTAGTAGATGTATTTGTATTGAACGTTTGCTCAACTCTATACAAATTTAAATTTATCGTTAATATGTAGTAACAAGTAAATGAATCAACAAGTCGCGTGGAATGACCTACATAATAAGCCGACGGCATTCATTTTGTTTGCTGTTCGTTCGGGACGGAAAGCTATGAAGTAGAAAACTATAATTTCGTCACCAAGAAGAAAATTTACGGGTTAAACAGAGGCCTTCGGATGACGTTGGACGGGATAACACTGAAATTCTCTGTTTCAGGGAGTCCTAATGCTACAGGATCAGTATCGTGCATTAATGCAGTACAGTATACCAAAGGATTGTCATGTGGATAAACTACCTGCAAAGAACACGCAAGATTGGCATTGTGTAAAGGTGTGCATATTAATTTCATTGCAAAAATATATAAAATATATTTATCCATTAAATTTGTCTTATTAACATTTTGCAGTGTGGAGCACACAATTTCAAAAGACGTGAAACATGTTTCAAATGTTCTGCTTCAAGGGCAGAAAGCGAAGAAGGTGGAGAAGGTAGTGATGAGATTAGTCCACATCCTACCAATACTGTTCTCCTTAGAGGATTGGATGTATTAACCACCGAAGATTCGGTTCTTCAAGCAATGAAAAATTTGTCGTCAATGCCAATTAGAAGTATACGCATTGGACGTGATTCTCTTACAAATACATCAAGGGGTGTTTGTTATTTAGAAATGGGTAATGTTGTGGATGCAATGTATTTACATACAGCGCTCACGAAGCAAGGATTAGTCGTTGATGGCAGGAAAGTAGAAATTGCATATTGCAAGTTACATCAGATTAATAACACTAATGCATGGAAATCTAATGATAATCAATCGCAAAGGTATACCTTAGATGATGTAGCTCAATTGGCAGAATATAGCGCCAATTTATATGCCAAAACACCAGCGCAAAAAGCTCATTATCTTCAGTATTATACACAGTACTATCAAAATCAGATAATGCAAGGAACGACTATTACATTACCTTCATTGAACCAAACGGACAGAGTAAATGCAGCTGCTGCAGTAGCTCAGTCTGCTATCCAACAGCTGCAAGCATCTAGAAAGATAGGTGATCCGGATGAAATGAAGGGCAGACCAACTCCTACTGCACCAACTAGCACAACTTTAGCAAGTGGAAGGGTTCCTGCCCATGCAAATGATGGAAAAGTTTATTCGGTGCCTGATGTTAGCACCTATCATTATGACGAATCTTCGGGTTATTATTATGATCCAAGTACAGGATTGTATTATGACCCTAATTCACAATATTATTATAATAGCCACACACAACAATTTCTTTACTGGGATGCAGAATCATTCTCCTACCAACCAGCAAAGGTAATTAATTTTTTTGTATAAAATTATAGATAGACTCGATATATTAGTAATATTTACATTATTCATATTTTTTAGACAACCGCAAGCGTTACTCCAGCAACAGGTACTGCTACTACGAGTGGAACTACAATAACAGCAACCGCTAGCAGTACCGATTCGGCTACTACAGTCGTTACTCAAGCTACCCCTTCATCAACAACAGTAACTAATGATGTACTAAAAGAGGATGAAAATAAGAAAAAAGATAGTAAACAGGACAAAGTAAAAGTTGCTAAAAAAATAGCAAAGGACATGGAACGTTGGGCAAAAACATTAAATCAGAAAAAAGAAAATGCTAAAAGTAATTGGAATTCAGAATTTACTGGAGGTGATGGTAATCAAGGTATAGGAAGTGGAGCCGCTGACGCTGGTTATGCTATACTGGAAAAGAAAGCTCTAGCAAATTCATATCACGAAGAGGAAGACCCCAGTGGAAGTAATGGTTTAGTAGCTGCTTATGGTGGTGGAAGTGACACAGAGGAGGAAATTGAGGATGTTCAACAAGAAGAACGGCAACATACGGATTGGAGCAAACTAGCTTGTTTGCTTTGCAAACGACAATTCCCGAGTAAAGAAGCGTTGATTCGACATCAGCAATTGTCAGATCTTCATAAGCAAAACTTAGAAAATTGGTATCAGGTGCGTGGTTTAGATCCAAACGATCCTCAACAAAGAAATAATAAATATCGGGATAGAGCTAAGGAAAGGCGAGCTAAATATGGCGAACCGGAGCCACCACAACCTAATAAATTAAAAGAAAAGTATTTAAAAACTAGAGTGGAAGACATATCTGTTTCATATGAAGAACCTACAAGAACAGGCATTGGTTCGGATAATGTTGGCAATAAGTTATTACAAAAGATGGGATGGAGCGAAGGAATGGGTCTTGGTAAATCAAATCAAGGTAGAACGAGTATCATTGAAGCAGAAAGACGAGTTCCTACCGCGGGTTTAGGAGCTAAATCATCATCCTATAGTGCTCTACCTGGAGATACATATAAGGATTGTGTAAAGAAAATGATGTATGCTCGTTATCAGGAACTATCCGATACGTAATACGTTAAGTATTGTTAAATAGATTTTATATATATATATAAAAACTTGTATTCATATTTTCCATAGATATGATATATATATATATATATATATATATATATATTCACATTATTTGATAAACATTGAACATGCCGGAAACTGCACAGTAATAATCGGTTTTTAAGATTACATTTAGTTTGATGAAAATTTATTATTTTTCACGTCAAAAGCCATGGTTATTTCATATATACTTATTGCTAGACAAAGTAGCTGAAGAATAATAATCACTTGACAGAAAATAATAAATTCTCCATTATGAGAAATATAATATGAATATTGATAACAACCAAGAATTTTATTTATGCAATGGCACCTTATTAAACTTATAATGATCAATAATGTTTTTCATACTTAATATTTCTACACCTTTAATCACAATCATGTTAGAATTAACTTTTGAAGGAATTCCGTACCACATTCTCTAAACTTTATTGATAGTGATACGACAATTTTTGTGTTGATTATATAAAATGTGATGATACCTAAAAATAAAATATACAATTTAGTATCAATAGATCAAACGATTATATCGAGTCTATTAGTCTTTACCTAATTCTGGATATTCCAATTTTAAACTACAAAAATATTAAGAAATATCTTCACTAATATGTACAAATTGAGCCAACTCTTCCTTTAATATATGGTAAATACATTGAGAAGAGTGTTAATAATAACAATAATAAAAATGCTATTTCAAAAATTACCTTTCGTAATACTTTAAATGATTTTTTGTTATTAACTCTAAAATTATTTAAAAAGATTTTTTTAAATAGTTATTGTTAACCCATAATACATCAAACTTCATAATTTCATAATAGTGTTCTGCATTATGTAAAATTTTCGTAAATAAATAATATAATTATATTTATTACACAGTACAATCACAAGCGATATGTACATTAATCTTTCTTTTTACGAGTTTTATCAAAGTTTAAGATTATGGATTAACAATTTCGTTATATATGTAAACGTCTCTTCTAAACTATTATACAATTTAACCTTATTTTTTTAATTTACTATCCACAATGTATATGAAATGGTAAAATTAGGAAAAATAATAAATATACTGCGAAATATTGCTAAACGCAATGTCTTATTTTTATATACAGTAGAACCTCGATTATCCGAATACTCTACTCTATGTAGTCATTCAATTATATTCTCTATTATCCAAACACGTTTTATGTGTTATCGCTATTCACATTAATCCTCCTCTAAATTCTAAATAAGAATGATAACACTGACTCGTGCATATGAAATACACATATGCCCATAATTATGAATGTGGTCTAAGTTATATATGTCGGGTTTCGAGATATTTAAAAGATTACATTTGAACACTAAATGAATTCTATATAATATTAAAATAACAAACCTATCTAATGTGGTTCATTTTTGACTTTATATATTTAGTAATAATATAAAAGAAAATAAAGTCCGATATACAATTTTTGTATCAACTGCTGTATCATTAACTCGAAGCTTTAGTTTTAGAATCTTTTATATAGTATTAATTTTGTTAAATACTGCAAATCAGACTATCATATATCAGTTATTTGTACTACTTTAAATAGTATATGTCCTAATAAACTAAAAAATCAAAAATATCATTAACATTTCGTAACTGAAGTCGTTTATTGACAATGTTTGATTGTTTTAAAAAATAATGTCACAATTGGTATATAAATGCTTAGTAAAAGTTATAAATGCTCGTGAAAGTTTTGTTATGCTTTCCAGTTCTATATACAAAAATGTGTTTAATTGCTTTCTTAAAAATATAAAAAACTAGTATAATTATTGCTTTACACATGTTTTGGTACTATAGATAGATAGAGAATAATTTAATTGCAATCATTATTTTTTTAACTTACATATTTATGCTATGAATATAAATTATATTTCTATAAAAAGTGTTTAGTCGCTTGAAAATTCAAGATTCAAATTGTTAAATACATACAAATACTGCACACTATCTACTTACATTCTTACTTTAAATATTTATAAAATATATTAATAATATATATTTATATCTATATCACTTAATTTATTTATTTATTTAACTTAAGACTTCCACAAGCACGATCTTTACGATGCAACAAGTACATGGACGTGATAATACTATATAGACTCCAAGATCATACTATGTAATGTTGTAAAAAATCACATTATTTCACATTGTCAATACGATAATTGCAAAACATATATACAATTCCAAATTCTGTATATACTATTTGTTAATATCTACCAGTCAGTTTCTACTCACAATTAATATATGTAAGTTTGTAAATGTACAACCATAAACATAAATTATAAAATACTACACCTAACGACATTTCATTATATTGATGAAATTGAGTAATGTAGATAGTACAGCAGAAAAAAGCTGTAGAGACCATATAAAATGGATGTAAAGTTAAAACTAAACATCAGCTAATATCCAAGAATACAATGGTCGTAGCTGATGATTTAATACTCTGTATTCAAGATTGCTAATGCCATCAGTATCATATCTTCTGGCAGCATTTTCTAAATTTTCAAATCTTGCACTACTAGGTGATTCTTTCTTATGACTTATCATATAATACTGTGCTATATCAGGCCCAAACCGTGTGATCTATTAAGAATATCAATGTCATTAGATTATTATCATAGAGATGCAGTAAAAATTATCTTATAGTTGCTTACTTGAAGTCCCCTTGATTGTAGACGACTATAAAAGTCATCATCTTCTCCACCCCACCCATAAAAAACATTTGAAAAGCCATTAACTATTTCAAATTGCTTGCGAGTCAATGCTATTGCCCCTCCGAATAAACCAGTATAAGGTAAGTTATACCGGAATGTATTTACACTAGAACTCATATGCCTTGGCATTTTAGTACAAGCATAAATATTGTTAGGATTCTGTGGTATTAAATCTATATCTTGAAATATAAAACAATGGAAATCATTGATTTTTGTTGCCTCTGCATATCCGACATTAAACAATTTAGCACGATTAAATTCTCTCATAGGACTTTGTTCTATCACAAATATTCTGTAATTGAGATTCTGTGCCTGTAAAAAAGGATGTATATAATTCATAAAGATGGCAAGCTGCGTTTGCCGGTTGCGATATGGTAGAATAATAGCAACGTTGAAAAGAGGATGGCAATTCAATGGTTTCCATTGTCCTCCAGGAAGGATTCCCAAACGTCGAGCCATAGCAATTGGGTCTTCTCGAGGATGTTCCTCTGGATATAGCAAATGCGAAGACCGTTCATTATTTATTGAAATAGAACAAGAGTTATCTCTTGGTGGATATGATCTTTCCATTTCATCATAAATATCTTCAGATTTTATAAATGTATAATGCGAAGCAAATCTCGCCGGATGTAAACAATAACATAAAATTACAATCGTAGTGACAGTATAAGACAGGCCACGTGCGTAATCGGAGAGAAACGCAATGAACATTTTCAAAATGTTTAAGAAAATTCTCATTTTAACCTCACTTTAATGCGTCAATCATAACACAACTTATGGTTTTCTCAAAGAACAATGTGGCTTAGACAAAATTTTAATAATGTGCATCCTCTTAGAAAAATTTTTATTTCAAACAACTTTAATTAGTAATTCTTGTAATAAGTGAAAATTAAATTATTATAAATTAGACTTGAGAGGTGCAGACGACAATTACGTTCAAAATGCGCATGCGTACAATTTAAGTTGTGTGACTGATAACACATACATATATAGTACTGATAATGTGTGATATATATAATGAAACAATAGATTCTTTTCTATATACAAATTTACTTTTTAATATAAAAAATAGTATAAAATATAAAAGAAGAATAAACAATTTAATATTTTTGTAACCATTTATTTTAAGTTAATAGATTTAATTAAATCCGTTTATTTTTCGAACAAATCTTACGATTTGTGAATGTCTAGAAATATTATATGTATCCACATAAATAAACTTTCATCTTTTAACAGTTTTTGTTTGTACGATAAGAAATCTTTACATTATATTAATATATACATTTGTCAATGAACTAATATGGCACGTGCCATTTCATTAGATTTAGATTCAATTATGGGGATATTTAAATGATGAAATACATCCAGTGTATCTCTCAGAAACTGATCCATCATCGCTTTTGTATGCTTTGGCGTTGGTGCTAATCTTAATTTTTCTTCACCTTTTGGAACCGTAGGATAATTTATAGCTTGAACATAATGTCCTTTTTCTCGTATTAACATATCAGCTATTTGACTACATAATAATGGATCACCTACCTGTAAAATAAAAATGAAATAATCTTAGAAAAACATGTGTTATAACATTACAACATATAGTAATAAAGTTACTTTTAATGGAATAATATGAGAAGGCGAAGGTTCCAATGGAAGTCCAGCAGTAGTAAGAATAGATTTCATATAGGCCACATTTTTTTGATGACTAGTTCTTAAAGACCTTCCTTCATCTGATGCCAAAATTTCAACAGATGTTAAAGCTCCATACAGAACAGTTGGTGGCAATGAAGTTGTGAAGATAAATCCTGCTGCATAGCTTCTAATCATATCGATAAGTATGGAAGAGGCAACAATGTAGCCACCCACATTACCAAAAGCTTTTCCAAGTGTACCAGATATTATATCCATTTTATCAAGAACCCAATCTCTTTCTCCAATGCCAGCACCAGAGTATCCATATAAGCCCACTGCATGAACTTCATCCACAAATGTTAAAGCACCATATTTGTGCGCGATATCACATAATTCTTCTAAAGGACATATATCACCTGTCATGGAATGTACTGTTTCAAATGCTACAATTTTTGGTATATTTCTATCAACTTTACTTAAAAGCTCTTCCAGATGTTTGACATCATTGTGTCTAAAGATATGTTTAGGTACACGACTATTACATATACCATGTATCATAGAAGCATGATTAGCAGCATCAGAAAATATATGGCAATTTGGTAAAAGCTTAGCCAATGTATACAATGTTGAATCATTGGCTACAAAACATGAAGTGAATAATAATCCAGCTTCTTTCTGATGCAAAGAAGCAAGTCTTTTCTCCAATTTCTCATGACCCATGGAATTTCCAGATATGTTACGAGTCCCACCTGCGCCTGCACCAAATTTATCCAAGGCTTCTCGAACAGATTTAATTACAGTTGGATGACGAGACATGCCTAAATAATCATTAGAGCACCACACTGTAATAGGTTTCTCGCCCCAGGAATATTCCATTGCAGCTGGAAATTGCTCAGCCAAACGATTTACTTTTTTGAAGATCCTGTACGAATGATCTTTTTTCTTTTTCATAATTTGTTCATGGAAATAATCTTGATAAGGAAAATTAGCTTCTTCTTTAGTTTTCTCTTTAGTGGTAAGATCAATAATATCTTCCTCTACTGTCAGACTAGCCTCTTTTATTGTATCTGGTTCTTTAGCAAGAAATGGACAATGATTTTCTATAGATTGAGATATCTGTGCTTCAGCCGTGTTTCCTGCCAATGTACTGGATAAGCGAGACATTACTGGGCAGTGTTGACGATAGTTCATTATTACAGATGTTCCATAGTTACGTACGTAATTGGCTGATAAGCGAGTTAAGAATGGGCAGGGCATGTTTCTCGTTTGTGCTGAAAGAAATCAATTTTTATAAAGTATAGTCAGAAAACTTAAACAATAATAAATATAAACTAAGTTAATAAAAAAATTGCTCATATGTGCATGTCAGTAAGATAATGATACAATATTATACCATCAAATATATTCATAAAATTCGATATTTCGTCTTGAAAATGCCCAAATATGTGTTCAATGGTACAATATTATATTATTAAATATGTTAATAAAATTTCGTCATTTTGAGAATATCCACATGAACAATATCGTAAATAATAAAAAATTATTTTTATAAGATGTAAGTATATATGGAAGTGACAAGAGAAAGTAATGATACAGGATATCATTTAATATAAAAAGAATAAATTCTTTTTACCTTTAGCAGTATTAGTGATATAAAGAGAACTTCTATATCGAATGCACTTTTGTATCAGCTGAAATCACAGAGAGAGAGATTCGTATGTGATAAATGTTATTCAAATATCTTGATGAATGAGGTCGTGATTCGTGGCTGATGGCCAAGCAATTCGAAAGTAAAAAGAATACGAAACACGAGATTTGACAATCACACACATGAACAGCTGGTAAGCGACTGACTCGTGCTCGTACTTTCGACAACTTAAAGTTGCTTCACTATCATGCGCAAAAACATCGACTATCACTGGGTAATTCTATCACTAATTTCTATATTTCGAAACTCTAATCCATTTGAAACTGCGTGAATTTTCTAATTGTTTTTTAATGACAAGTACTTCACTTTCATTTTTTTTCTTTTCTTTTTCCTGTGCGGTAAAAACGAATCAACAAATATAACTCATCATTACGTATGTTAAAAACAACAATAAAACAACAAGGACAAATTTAACATATTCATTAGCAGAAAATATTTAATATATATATTTATGTAAACATTTATACAAGACATTTCAAAAAACTGTAAAAATTAATTAAAAGAATACAAAATATATTAAAAATATTTAAATATAATAATAATGAGCGCTTAATAATACTTAAATATTTATATTAATCACACGACTTATCTTTTTAAATTTGGATTTCACAAAGAATCGTAATTTCTTTTATGTATTTTAAATCTAATAAGTATATTTCTTTTTTCAAATTAAAATATTTATAAATCCAGTTCCATATTTATATAATAGGAATGTACTATTTCGTTTTACAGATAATAGTTTATAAAAAAATAAAATTAAGCATTAAGGCGATATATATAATCAAACAATTAAAAATACTTACTTTTTGAGAATTGAGGAAAAGAAAGTTGCTGTTATTTACCATATTGGGTAGCAATAACAAAAATGTAATAAAAATGCGAATATTTATATAGAAATACTAAGAGTTTAGATATTTAAATGATCTATAATCTTTAAATTAAATATTTTATTATTATTTATTTCTTAATTTCTATATAAGAGAGCACGTTTACATACGACTAAGAAAATTCACGAGAACCGCGGTTTAAATGAGACGCAACCGATCTGGTAGAAATTTATGTTATGATTTTACTCTTTTATGCGAACTCATTCCGTTCGTTTAAATTAGGAATGTTACCCAATCATTGTTTGTAATGACCTCTTCGTATTGGTGGTCAACGCAATTCATTGTATTATACATACATAACTTTATTCCGTGCGTCACCGTCTTTCACGTAAATACAACAATACTTCAACAACAGAAATTAATTTTATTTGATACATACAAATTTTATGCTTTTTTTTACTTAAAAAAACAAAACAAAATCATCGTTTTAAAAATTATACAAAATTTTCAATAATTCTTATATTCAATAAGCTAAAATAGTCATAATATAGTTATTAATATCTTTGAATCTTTACAAATGGTCCTTGAATACAAATTTTCAATTGAGTTCTATTTAAGTTCATAACTATCGTGATTCCTGACACTCTTATTCATGGTCAATTATTATTATTGTATCTGTCAATTTCGTCATTTATTACGCGTTGATCAATTTAATATAAAATTCCCCTCGAACTGTAATTGAGTGTCATTTTAGTTATGAAGAAATATGTGAAATATATGAAGAAATATGTATTTTTAAGGGAAATTCTACAGAAAGTAATTCTACCTAGTTATGTAGTCTTAAATAAACTATTCTATTCTCTTTTAATTTTTAATAAGTACAACATATGTCGCATGAGAAATACTATAGATACCAATACACATTCTTATTTCTATTTAATTTGTAAACTTTATTTTCGATGCTCCAGTAACTACTGTTTTCCTTCCTACGTATTTTTATCTTTTCTTACAATTATTATATATAATTTAAAAAATTTTAAGGTGTCCAGCTTTTTTTATTAAGTAGTGAAAAAGAATACAGAAGTATATAGAAGCCAACAACAAATCTCCTTTTTTATCTATCCACTTTCCTTTAAGTTACTACCGGGAACACTAGTGGGCGATAGTAGGTACTTAACGCGATGACGATAGAATACTATCAAAAAAGAATATCGTATTCTTTTATTTATTTAATTAATTATATTTAATTTTTTTATGTATTATAAAAAATACACATATTCTATTTAATTTTTTATAACAAAAAATTTGTTTCGTGTGCTGTACGACGAATATCTTCACTTTTATGTAATTATTTTAACGCTCCTGCGCAGTGATGACTTCGAGGGTAAAGATAACGTGTAAAAAGGCGATTCACACTCGACGACGGCAAATAGCCAATGAGAACGCTTCACGCGCAAAATCCGGCAAACAACCAATGGGAGTGATTCCAACTATCGAGGTGTAGAAATAATACGTTAAACGTGGCTTTTTGTGTTCCGGCTCTTGCCCCGTACTGACGCAATCACTATCTATCTACGCATAGTTAATCTATTTTTGTTAATGTTAATAAGTATATTTTCGTATTACATCATGCCTCAGGATCCCTAACTATCCCCGCACCATCTACTGATACGGACTAGCGCTTGTTATAACATGTACCTTAATAAAATATTAAAAACCTATCTTTTAATCCATTACTGTTTATAATCTAAAATAATATTTAACTTATAGCATCTGCAGTCAATAAACATATGCAGCAGCAACTTTTACAATAATACTGGTACTACACACACCTCTTTCAGGGCTTATTTTCTTAGCTTTATTTATTTTTGACGAAATCAAACACGGTACCCGAAAAGTAGTGAATAAAAAAACATACATATATCAAAAACGCTACCATGATTAAAAATAAAATTACCAGTACAGATGAATTATGGAAGAATGCTTTYATATTACGCTTCTGAACCAGATCGAACCTTTCATTAATAATATGTTGGCCCTGAAAAGGGCCGGTGGACTGGATTTCCAGTATAAATTAAGCTCTCTCTCCTCTGATTCGTCGAGCTAATTGAATATCTTTGGGCATGATAGTGACACGTTTAGCATGAATAGCACAAAGATTAGTATCTTCGAATAAGCCGACTAAGTAAGCTTCACTAGCTTCTTGAAGCGCCATCACTGCTGAACTTTGGAAACGAAGATCGGTTTTGAAATCTTGAGCAATTTCACGAACAAGTCGTTGAAACGGCAATTTTCTGATAAGTAATTCAGTACTCTTCTGATAACGACGAATTTCACGAAGAGCAACAGTTCCAGGCCTGTAGCGATGAGGCTTCTTAACTCCACCAGTTGCAGGAGCACTCTTACGTGCTGCCTTAGTGGCCAACTGCTTACGGGGCGCCTTTCCACCAGTCGACTTACGAGCAGTCTGCTTAGTACGAGCCATAACTAGAAATGGACGATAGTAACTTCTATGACGGACACGGAAAGTATAATGCCGCTCCAGCTGGAATCGCCTCCTTTTATATACTGGGAGATCCTGTGCTGCTCGTTGATTGGACGATGACTCGATGGTGGGGGAAGCCTACTGCTGGCTGAACTTTCTGCGCGGGAAAAGTGTCGTAAGTAATGTGATTAATTCTAGATGGGATATAATATTAATCGTATATAATATAGTGTCTGTAATATATAATATATTAGCGTCAAATTGTTTAACTAAATTAAACAATAGAAAATTTGGATTTTAGCTGAAATAACTAGGCGTTTTTGGGTAAACTTATAAACGAATTACAATATTTAATTGAAATATGTAATTTTGCATTCTTTTATATTTAAACAGATCAATACAATTAATCAGGGTTTCGCTAATCATTTTACGCCTTAACAGATTTCAAAAAGTAACGTCAATACAATTAAGAAAGACGATTTAAAGTTTTCTCATTAAAAATATATATATATATATTTTTTGTATAATTAACTACGTTATACTAGTATTTATCTCAAAGTGAAATTCTTACTGCGTCGCTAGGCTCTCTGATTGGTGGGTTGCGTTTGGTGGGGGAACAAGGCTACTTACCGGGTATAAATACCACGACACGATAGATGTCTACTCAGTTTCGTATGAACCAAGCTTCGAAGAGATACTGTTAAAAATATAGTAAAACTTCTCGAATTATAAAATGACTGGTCGTGGTAAAGGTGGAAAAGGATTGGGAAAGGGAGGTGCCAAGCGTCACAGAAAGGTTCTTCGTGATAACATCCAAGGTATCACCAAACCGGCAATCCGTCGTCTTGCTCGCCGAGGCGGTGTCAAACGTATTTCTGGATTGATTTATGAAGAAACTCGTGGCGTCTTGAAGGTTTTTCTGGAAAACGTTATTCGTGACGCAGTAACGTATACCGAACACGCTAAGAGGAAAACCGTAACTGCCATGGACGTCGTTTATGCTCTGAAACGCCAAGGGCGTACTCTTTATGGGTTTGGAGGTTAAATGTTGCGGTAGATGCAAGTCATTGCCATTTTATGACAATGTTAAAACGGCCCTTCTCAGGGCCACTATATTTTTCTTACTGAATTGGAATATCTCCGAACATCTTTTATGATAAGAAGGGGAAATACATTTAAAATTTTCTAAAATATTGTCATGTTCCTAAAAATATTGTCATTTTTTTTTTTTCATAAAAAATTGGTATGAAATTTTCATAAAAAATTAGTATGAAATCTTCAGAAATGTTCACTACATGTTTAAAATATATTCAAACACCTTTTCTTCATCTTATATCTTACAAACGTTTTTTGCTATACTTTGCATTTCGAGTGCCATTAGAAGTATAGTCAAGCGGTGAATTTTGACTAACTGGGTAAATGCTCTATTACCTTTCGACCTTTCTATTGAATTTTGATTGAGGTAGATGTTTTAGAATTATTGTAAACGATTTAAACAAAATGAGTTTTATAGTTACAAATTAATTTAATTACTTACGTTAGTGAAGGTCAGAATTGTGGTGTTGCTGTTAACTCTGTTCAGTTTAGTTTAGGAGCTTATTCTATACGGAATTATTTTAAAAACGAATAGATTTAAATACTAATTCATATCCTAAAGAAAATTAAAATGATCTCAGACAAACATACCTGCGGAAACGAAAATTTTGTGGAAATCAGTACTCCACAAACGAAAATGAAACTGAATAACCGAGTTATAAGTACGAGAAAACTTTCCAGTCTAATAGTGAATATGATATGTATGTATGAATAGTTAACTAATAAGATATTATGTGTGTATACTTGTAAGATAAAATAGTAATGAGATGATGTTGACACTAATGATCTAAGGAGTTCGTTTACGAGGCGGCGGCGGCCTATATGCTGGGCTATCGTAAAGTATGTATTGTCCTTGAATTTGATTGTTGTCATGTAATGAGTAGATTGTGAACTGAAAGGCCAATAATTTGCTCGCAATACCAGTACGCACGACTCCACGAACTAAGAGTGAAGATGACGAGTTCTCGGCGGTGATTTGCAGATAAGTGAAAGTAATTTACATCGTACAGAGAAGCCCACGAAAATACTCATGGTGACGGCACTCACGAACTAATAGTGGAAATGGCAAGTGATCGGTGCTAATGTACGGATGAGCGTAATAATTGTAAAACGAGATTAATCGTTGAGTAAATGTATCAAAAAATAAATTAGAATGTAAATGAATCAGAAGGGATGATCTAACGGCCACGCGATTCGTACTTAGTCTTTTTTAATTATTGAGATTACTCGATATTGATTGGCTCATCGATTTTCCGCACTAGGTGATTGGACGAGTTTGGAACATGTATCTATACGGTGGTGCCGCGAAACGAGACGAGACAAAGACACGAGTTACTCAAAGAACACGCAATTACGCCGTGAGCGCGGAAGAGTATCACGGAAACCGATGGAGAATGAGCGCAAATTTTAAACAAATACAAATACAATAGAATCATATCACCAGATTCTAATTCAGATATTAATAAATATATTATTAACCCTTTGCACTCGAAGTTCTGTTTTTTTTTTTTTTTCATTTATATTACTAGCAAAAATCATATTCACATATTATATAAGTAAATGATATATTTATATAAAAGATAAGTCATAGTTGGTACGTTGTAGATTAAATTGAATTTGCTTCAGTTTTTCTTCTTTTTTTGTTTTTTTTTTTGTTTTTATTGTCTCCATAGCGGAACCCTCGAGTGTAAAGGGTTAATAATAGTGCATTGTAACGTAGATACTCTTCACTATATCTTAAAAGAATTGTCTACTGAGGCAGAAAATGAAGTTAATGGTGACGAAGAAAACATAATTTAGTTTACATTTATTGTTAGTAATGTGGAATGATTTTAACAGTCGACACACATACACACAGAAATCATTTTATTTATTAATAATTAAAAATAGAATTACAAACACAATAAATAACAAAAATTAATTTTTGTACATGTCTGGAACGATATATTTTTCAGAATGATATTCCTCGTACAGAAAAATAAAACATAAACAAATAACAAATAAAATAAATAACATAAATTAATCTTTTAGCGTGCCTAAGACGATACACTTTTTAAGATGATATTCGTCGTACAAACATACAAAACATAAATTTTTTGACATACTCTACATTTCATGAATGCAGGCTTCCTACATGTACACGCGGATTTCAAATCTTCTACAGAGAAGCAGATTTGGTTCAAATTTAAGAAACCTGGTCTTTCTTCATGCAATTTTGACGCAACTGATTATACAATATCAAATGAATTTTTATTGAATCTTCACGGGACGCAATTTGGCGCCCATTTTCGATCAAGAAAGAGCAGTTTGTTTAAGTTAATGAATGCCATAATGTTCAATATATTATTGTTATGCTTATTAACAATGTGCTCAGTGACTCGAATAAACTGCAGTATGATGGAATGGTTGCTTCTAAATCTGAATTGTTTGTCAGTATTTTATTCGCATACATGTGTTTGCATATTTTCTGAAATATGATTTTTCCAGAACTTTGCTCATGATGCAAAGTACACTTATTGGTCGATTATTTGAGGAATCGGATCTTGTTTACCTTGGCTTGGGAATTGATATAATAAAAGAAACTTTTTAGGAGAAAAGGAAATAAGTCATGTTGAGACAGAAGCGTAGGATGTAATGAAGTTGGACAAAGAGTTTTTTCGGAAAAATGTTAGAACTATAGAGCAATAATTTTGTTAGAACTAGGGTGGTATTCACTGTTTTTTAAGGATTTTATAATTTTAAGGATAGTATGAAGGGATAAGTTTAGAAAAGGAAGTATAAGACTCATATCCACAGGTTATCTCGTGGATGTCGAATATATACGTTGCTCGACACGAAAGGGTTAAGAGCACTGAAAGGTAAACTTTTGTGTAAGAGAACCGCATGTTGTATGTTTACATAACTTTAAATGAATGAAAGATTGTCGGTAGATAATGATTGTCGCGCTACAAAAAATGAAAACGATATCCGAAAGGTGGTCCTTATACATTTTAAACAGGAATTTTTCCTAGGTTCATACAAAAATTAAACTACTCATTTCCTTACTTAAATATAGCACCAACATAGTCTTCGCTGATCAGAAAAAAAATTAATGTCCTCGTGGAAATGTTCGAGCAATTCCACATTGGTACAATGGACTTCCATTTCTCTTGAGAAACTGAAGCACATTAAGCAGCTGAAATATTATTGACTTCCACTCTCTCTTTCCCACTTCATCCACTGTAGTAATTCTTACCGCGTCGCTAGGCTCTCTGATTGGTGGGTTGCGTTTGGTGGGGGAACAAGTCTACTTACCGGGTATAAATACCACGCCACGACAGAGGTCCACACAGTTTCGACTGAGCTAAGCTCCGAAGAGGTTCTATTAAGTATATAGCAAAGTTTTCTTAAACTTTAAAAATGACTGGTCGTGGTAAAGGTGGAAAAGGATTGGGAAAAGGAGGTGCCAAGCGTCACAGGAAGGTTCTTCGTGATAACATCCAAGGTATTACCAAACCGGCGATCCGTCGTCTTGCTCGCCGAGGCGGTGTCAAACGTATTTCTGGATTGATTTATGAAGAAACTCGTGGCGTCTTGAAAGTTTTTCTGGAAAACGTTATTCGTGACGCAGTCACGTATACCGAACACGCTAAGAGGAAAACCGTAACTGCTATGGATGTCGTTTATGCTCTGAAACGCCAAGGACGTACTCTTTATGGGTTTGGAGGTTAAACGTTGCAGTAAATGAGAATCGTTGCCATCTTTTGACAATGATAAAACCGGCCCTTTTTAGGGCCACTATATTTTTCTTACTGAACTGGAATAACTCTAAACATGTTTTGTTATAAATAAATTTTCAGATTAATATTTAAACAAAGTTGATTCTTAATTATCACATTTTTTTTATACTTATCGATCAGACTATCAATCGATAAAACTATAAAATCTTAGTTTGGCCACGTGGTTCAGCTCAGAATAACAGAAAAAATGCGAGTAATTGTATAGATAGATATGTTTCATTTAATTTCATTGTTATTTAGATTATAAACAGTAGTAGAAAAAGAAAGATAGATTCAGAATTATTATTATTACAATTTTGTTATGTTTCAAGCGTGAATATATATAATTACAGTTATTTTTATTTAAAGTGAAAATTTCTATATTTGCATTATATGATATATATATAAAAGTAACTAAATTTTTCTTTGTTGTACGTAACAACTAGGAAATTATGTATGATATATATTATCGAACAAATAATTCGTTGGGTAAATGTATCGAAAATAATTTGATGAATGCGCAAAACTTTTTTATTCCATGCAAACCAATCCCAAGTAATCGCATAGAAATTACAATTCTACGGTTTATTTCATAGCCTTTTTCAATAAATGAACCACTAGGTATCTCAGTCTATACACATTTTTCACAGAACACTTCTATTTTGAATTCCAAACCGCGATTACCACTTTCCGTAAATTTCACTTGCGATTTGTACACTTTACAAACGACAACGTTTAAAATAGCTGAAAAAACTCCAATAAAGTTTATAATACGATAATTAAAACCTGGATTCACTTCAATATCGTACGTTTTTGCGGATGTACTAGTATTCAATTCACTTGGTGCCTCTAACTAGTGTCGATTCAATGGTCTTCCAGATATTTTCAGTCTTTTGCTATATGTATGTAATGTATCTTTTTTGCACCTTTTTGACCATAATACACTTTGTCACTAATTATAAAAACGAATCAATATCACTCACAAAACAGAAAAAGAGTTGAAACAATATCGATAAAAAAAATATTCCTCAAAGAGCATCCTTCTCGAATGTGTTTTACTGTACGAAACTGACTGAAACTGACCTTTCTAAAGATGAAACAAACAATAGTTTAAACATGTGGCAAATAACTTCAAAAACATTGTCTCCTAAAATACCGATTATAAGAGGCTCGCTGTCTACCTGGCAGCCTTATACTATCTTTCAAAAACAAGTACTTACCATTAGAAATATTTTCCGGCTATAATCTTTTGGAATATCACTTTTGAGGTCCTAAGGGACCATTTAAAATAATAAAAAATATTCGATTTTTGGAAAATGGCCCTAACTCATTAAAAAAATAAATTGATTGGACGACCAGATAAGAAAAGTTCGACAGAGAATAATAAAAATACAATAATTTGTAGTTAAGATCATGGGTGTATATCTCCAGTGCGGACCATGAAGAGAGTCTTACCTAGTATAGCGCACAGTTTTGTGATCAGAAAGACATAGCAACAAATCTACCTCCGCATTTCTTCCTTTATTTTCCGCACATCAGTTATTAAAGCAGTTTATGAAATATATCAAACGAAAGCCAAGTTTATAAATTTTCATGTTTTTCATTCTTTTTAAATATATAAGTTATGTACTTTCATCTATATACTCATATTTAGAAGTGTACTTTCTATTGCAAATTGTTTAATAGCAAATAAAGTCCTTATATTGTGTATTTGTTATAATAATTACATAAGAATTAGTTTTCTTTAGTTTATTTTAGTTAATCTTTTGAAATAAATCTGCTTATTATTATAAATTATTTTGGAATAAATTGTTGAATCTATATAAATTCAATGAATGTTCTAGACACTCATACAGTTGTTTCATATTTTTTACTGTATATTAACAATTTAGCAGTTAAATAAATATATGTGATAAAAAATATTAATAATTTTCTCTAGAGTAATATTAAAAATACATAATATGTATATATAAATAACCCAAGCATTAGCTATAAAAATAAACGAACAATATAAAAGTAGATATTATTTTATATTGTTATTTATAAATATATCTATATTTTAATACTTATTTATATACTTAATTTTATATACTTATAATAATTTTTATTTAAAAATTTTTGTTTTTCACCACTGCAGTATTTACAGTTAATATTTCATCTAGTATTGATCATATTACTTACGACACTTTTCCCGCGCAGAAAGTTCAGCCAGCAGTAGGCTTCCCCCACCATCGAGTCATCGTCCAATCAACGAGCAGCACAGGATCTCCCAGTATATAAAAGGAGGCGATTCCAGCTGGAGCGGCATTATACTTTCCGTGTCCGTCATAGAAGTTACTATCGTCCATTTCTAGTTATGGCTCGTACTAAGCAGACTGCTCGTAAGTCGACTGGTGGAAAGGCGCCCCGTAAGCAGTTGGCCACTAAGGCAGCACGTAAGAGTGCTCCTGCAACTGGTGGAGTTAAGAAGCCTCATCGCTACAGGCCTGGAACTGTTGCTCTTCGTGAAATTCGTCGTTATCAGAAGAGTACTGAATTACTTATCAGAAAATTGCCGTTTCAACGACTTGTTCGTGAAATTGCTCAAGATTTCAAAACCGATCTTCGTTTCCAAAGTTCAGCAGTGATGGCGCTTCAAGAAGCTAGTGAAGCTTACTTAGTCGGCTTATTCGAAGATACTAATCTTTGTGCTATTCATGCTAAACGTGTCACTATCATGCCCAAAGATATTCAATTAGCTCGACGAATCAGAGGAGAGAGAGCTTAATTTATACTGGAAATCCAGTCCACCGGCCCTTTTCAGGGCCAACATATTATTAATGAAAGGTTCGATCTGGTTCAGAAGCGTAATATAAAAGCATTCTTCCATAATTCATCTGTACTGGTAATTTTATTTTTAATCATGGTAGCGTTTTTGATATATGTATGTTTTTTTATTCACTACTTTTCGGGTACCGTTTGAATTCGTTCACTTTCATATTATAAATTTTTCTACTCCTAGTTAGATTACATTGATTAAGCTAAAAACTAAACGTATATTTAAGTAATTCTACAATAATTTCGTACTTGAATACTTTTATAATTTTATTTATTAAATGCCTTCTGATTCAAAAACTTGTTAGTTTTAAAATATATTATAACATTAATTTTTTTCGCTTAATAGAAAACATGAAGATTACAATTAATAGGTGATTTCATAGTGGCAGATTAGTAATGAAGGTTTTATTTGATTTTTAGTCTTAGCATTTACTTTAATGGCTCCACTCTGAAAATCATTCGTAATAAAACTAGTTTTATAAATATTTCATGTCATTAATTATTTATTGTAAGTTCTACTTGTTATAACTTTTTTACTTAAATTTTGATTGCTTATTTGAATTCGAAAAAAATTTAAGACATTAACCTAAAAAACTGAATGTGACTCTTATATAAGGTAATAAACAATAGAGATTAGGGGTACTACACTCCCTTTGACACCTTATGCAACTGTTGTTTGAAGTATTTTTCGTATAATACATAACCTGAGAGTTATTTGAGTTTATGTTGGCAGACTAATCATATAAACATTTGAGTTTTTATTTAACATGATACTGATTAATCTGGTATATACATTAATTCTAAGTTTCTAATAACGTCGTACGAATAAGTCGCGTTATAGCAAGGTTGACTATAAAAAAAAAAATCTTTGAGATGTTATAAGAATTTGTATTGCAAGAACTTGCAAATTATGAAAATTAATCGTAGAAACGATTTCCTTAAATCATATTTAACACACTAAGCGCTACGCCAATTTATTAAACACACTAACTTTAAATTTTCTGCTTACGCTGTGCCAATCCTTAAAACCTTAAAAATATTAGCTTTTACAACAATAATTAAATTAAACTTTCTATAGAGTATTCGAGAAAAATTAATATATTTCATTATAACTCTAGAACTACAACCAAGCCAATCCAAATGACTGGTTTCACAATTTTATTCTAAAGTTTCCACCTCATGTAACAATGTTTTTTAAATTACAAATTACAAATCTTATAATGATGTGATGTCTTTTTCCAGCCGTATCTGAAAGTGTGATAATATGAATTTTATTTTTGTTTAACTAATATTGAATCGAAGTAAATTTTTGTTTTTGATACTTATACTAAAACCAGTCATTTTGACTAGTACTTTTTAAAGTGGAAAAGTAACCTATAATCTGTTTACAAAACCGGAAATCGTTGATTAGATATATTTTATAATTGATTTATTAGATTTTTGTTAAAAAATTTTATTACGAGCCACATTGAAGCTGGCGACACAACATTGATATACAAGAAAACGTAGCCATGGTGTAAGTCATTGATCCCGTTTCACGTAATCATTCCGTATATCATAGTTGTTGGAATAGGATTTCTTTTCATATAACGATATATATTTTTCAAGCCTTAATAATGCCAAAACGATTGAAAACCTTTAATTTAGAGCAAAAAATGAACAATATACCAATGGAATATTCGGATATTGAATTGTATAAATTACGAAATATTGGCTGGCATTTAGTGTTCATACGAAATGTACTTTAAAATGAGTTTCCTTATCTAAGAAAAGATAAAACACGAATTACATCACAAAACCTCTAATGTAAGTGGATTTGTTGTATTCATCAAACTTATCGAACTGTATTCTATAAAAGGAACATTTGTAATAACTGTTAATTCTATAAAACTTATAAATAACATCTAAATTGCTGTGACAAAAAACCACACTGATTGATATTATGTGCGGCAACAAAGAAGAATTATCAACAATTTGTAAAATAAAAATATCATAGCACGTTTTTCTTTCATCATTGCTTTATAGATAAAATGAAATTAAAAAAAGTTTTCATACCGAGTTCAAAATATAAATCCGTCAAAACTGAAAAAAATGAAAACAGCTTACCCCTAATATAACGGTAGAAATTTATAATAAAACTAAATTTATTGTAGACATCGCAGATCAAATGGCAAAGAAATATAGCGTTAGGTCTAGATCAAGAATCTTCTTGATATTTACTAATCTATTACTTGAACATTATTTATTCAATAAATAAATTTATTTGTAACAATCCAATAGGTTTATTAGCTTATGATATGCTGAATCTTTAGTTAATTCAACGTATTAAAATTTTTGGTGGCCCTAAAAAGGGCCGGGGTTAAAAGGTTGATTGATATCAATTACTTTGAGCTCGTATATTTAGTCACAGCTTTAGTACCTTCACTAACAGCGTGTTTAGCGAGCTCACCAGGTAGTAACAAACGCACCGCAGTTTGAATTTCCCGAGAAGTGATTGTTGAACGTTTGTTGTAGTGAGCCAATCTTGAAGCTTCCGCTGCAATGCGTTCGAAAACGTCGTTGACGAAACTATTCATGATACTCATAGCTTTACTAGAAATTCCAGTATCCGGATGTACTTGTTTGAGCACTTTGTAAATATAGATAGCGTAGCTTTCCTTCCTCTTACGCTTCTTCTTCTTATCAGTTTTACTGATATTTTTCTGAGCTTTACCAGCCTTTTTCACAGCTTTTCCACTAGCTTTAGGAGGCATGATGAGATTATTAGTTTTTTCGTTCGTAATCGAAACTTCTAATACCTTGCCGTACTTCACACTGAATGGTGAGGGCTACAGTGCGTTCTTTATATATAGTAAGAAGAGACTGACACTGCACCAATCAGATGCCAGTGGGGGCAACGCTCGAACGTTATTGGTCGAGCGAATGCTACGTGCCGCAGTATATAAACGAAACAAGCTCTTGAAACTCTCATTCAACTGGTGATCGTTGTACGGTGAGGATAGCTTATAACGATTTGAACTTTTATAACGCAGCAGTATGTCTGGACGGGCTAGTAGTAGTAAATCGAAAGGGAAGGCCTCTTCGAAATCACGATCTCACCGAGCTGGTTTACAATTCCCGGTAGGTCGTATCCATCGGCTATTAAGAAAAGGTCATTATGCTGAACGTGTAGGTGCTGGAGCACCCGTATACCTAGCTGCAGTGTTGGAATATCTTGCCGCTGAAGTGTTAGAACTGACTGGAAATGCAGCGCGTGATAATAAAAAAACCAGAATAGTACCGAGACATGTTCAACTTGCCATACGTCATGACGAAGAATTAAATAAAATATTATCTGGTGTAACTATCGCCCAAGGTGGTGTATTGCCTAACATCCAAAGTATTTTATTACCCAAGAAATCTGAAAAGAAAGCTTAATTTATTATGCGATTTTTCACGGCCCTTGTTAGGGCCCCAAAATTTTATTACGAAGGACTATAATCGTCACATTTTTCTAATTTATCAAGTATTTTTTAAGTAATACTTTTGACGCGTTTGGTAAAAAATGATGAAAGTGAATTTTTACGATGCACGTGCGTGCAAATGATATGAAAAAATTAACATCATGAAGTTAGTCGACAAACTGAAGTTTAGGTGGACTGTTATCTATATTCAAAACATTTATTCTGGTATTTCTATATACACAACACGTGTTTTATATCGAAACAAATAAAAATTATGTATGTGTTTTGAAGTTATTTTATTATTACATACGGTGGTGATAAATATTAATTAACTGTTAGTATCTTCAAAATCATTGATTGTTTGTAAATATTAGTAATAAAAGTATTTTTTGAGATTAACTGAGATAGGTATTATTATTTGTTTGCATTATTTATAAAATTTTTTCTGCAATAATTCTTATTAAACTATATAATCTCTTGCAGCATTTTGACCAGTGTCAGTAATTTTTGTTTTAGTTTTCGAGATTCCTAAAATTAATGCAGATTGTGCACCACAATTTGTATAGCGTTCAACGTGTTATTTAATAATAATTTTTAAAGTATAGAATATTGAATACCAGCAGTGACGATAATGTTTAATCGTACTGATTCTCGTTATAAACTGTCTTGTGAACAATTTGAAATCGGAGCTCTGAGTATTTATTGTCTGTAATTTTCGTTGAGGTTTTGTTTCTTTTTTGTTAATTATATAAGTAATTTATTTTTCTTTTTTTAATTTTACTTTTATTAAATCACTAAATAGGAAATAAAAAAAGCATCTCACAAATAATAAAATTCTGAGATAAACTTACCTGATATAGGGCTCATATAGATATACATTTTCTTCTAATATTTTACAGGTAATATTGTATGTTAAGGACAAATCAGAGAGATTAACATAATCGATTGTTGTTTATCTTTTTTTTTTCTTTTCCTTGTTATCGATAGTGACCCGCATAATTTGAAACGAGCATTTACGTCGAACTTTGAATATGTCTATTTTTATTTGTAAATTTACATATTAATATCTAAAAACTTACAACAAACAGGAATGTGTCTTTAGGTTTATGTGTTCTTTGTTTTTCTTTTTTTATACATATTTGTGAGTGGCTGACCAGAGAAATTGATCACGTGAATATATCTTAATTTACAGCCAATAGTATCATTTCATTACTCTTACATCTTGTTCAATATCGAGCAAAAGTGTTTTACAAACTTATCTTATTTAAACTTAATTTAATGGTCTTCCTTTGGAAAGTTTCATTTTATTTCTAATAACAAATTATTCTTGTAGGATTGTATATTCATATTAAGTAAAAACAAGTTAACGTAAGAATATAGGCAAAGGTCAGCCAGTCGTGAAAAATTCAAGTCATCTTAAACTTATATATATATTAAGTATTATATATATATATTTATTACATGGATGACGCTCCCACCGTTAGTATCACCCAAAAGTGTTTAATATCTTTTTAACAAAAGAAGATTGGAAAATACGCAGAGTACGCGAATTTTCTTTTTATTCTTACTGCAAGATATTTGTTATTTATTTTTTTTTTTCGTTTTTGTTATATTTCTTTGTTTTTCTTTTAAATTTTTCTCTTTGCTTTGGAGTAATACTCTAGAGTAGAAAAGGTGAAGAGTGAGGTGAAATGAAATTTTAAAGAACTCGTATTACTTGTCTCCTTCATTATTTGTATCATTTTGTCTTTTTCGCTTTTATTTTAATTGTCACGATAGTTATTCGTGATCGGTGTGTTGTAAGATATTTTTTAGAATGTGATTAAAATAAAAAGAATATTATTCAATACAAAATTTCTCGAACTACGTTAATAATTGCAGAACATTATAGAATAAAAAGTTTGTTATAAATTTATAATTTAAGGATATGATTATATACTTAATTATATTATTTGACATTGTTATTTTAAAGGGTATCTCGAAAATTGCTTTATCGCAAAAAAGAAAAAAACAAAACAAAAATCAATATTGATTTTTTAATAGAAATCTTATCTTTTGTTTTTTATTTTAAGATATGAATCTCCAGAGTGTTATCAAACAAGTATGAGTCCACGATGTCTGTACTCTAAATACTTACCAATCAAAATTGATAATTTTTCAGTTCGGTAAAACGACTTTCGGGACACTTTATGGTTATAGCTATAAAAATTGTATAATGACACCTGAGGCAAAACATACAATTTGCGTTTCAGTCAACCTGTTGAATATGTCAATAAGAGAACGCGATAAAAGCTAGTTCTCATAAATTTCTTCTCTTTATTTTTGTTTTCCTTCTTACACACGTATTAACGTTGAAATGATTCAATTCTAATCAGGAAAGAGGAAACAAGTACCGAGAACTCTCGATTTCGCTTCTTTAGAAAGGCGCGTACGAACGAGGAACAAGGTTTACGAACGCTCTAGCAGAGCGTTGTTAACGATATTTAAAATTTACAAAAATTATATTACAGACGGCGATGTATGTACTTTTTCTTCTCTTGTTTGAGTGACGGCCCATGAACGATTCAAACAAATTTTCGGATTTTTTGTAAGAGGCTTGCGTTCCATACTTTTTATTCTACTATTTTACTATAAAAAATTTACGACGATTAGATTTTTAAGAAAGATTCAAAATCGTTCTTGGTATGTCATTAAATAAGAGAAATGATCGCCGAAAATACGAAAGGATTCTTCGATCGAGATGATCCCCGTATTTTAAATGATTTCGTATGTATATTTATATATGAGCATATATATATATATATATCTATATATGTATATCATATATATTATATATTATATATATATCTATATATTTATCACGTATTATATATACAATATACAGGGTTTTTTATTTTAGAAAGACATGGTCAAAAATCTCCGTTTTTATTGGTTTTATAAACAAATAATTCCAGAAAAAGTTGTTACGTTTGAGAGTAAGTATGAAATATGTGTATTCAGCTATAGTCAGTGTAAAAAGTATTCATACCGCAGTCAATTTGAACAAAAACTTTGAAGAACTTTAATATAAATAAATTATTATTTTTTAATAACAACTAGAGTCTCTTCTTAGAGATTTCTAAGAATATGTATATGTACTTTTTGTGAACATCTTTTTGTAATAAACGAAGTTCTTTAAAGTTTTTGTTTCAATTAACTGCTGTACGAATACTTATTGCACTTACTAGATATATTTTGTAGAGGATACTGTTGTCATTCGATACGTTCATTCAAAAAACTAATAGAATCGGAGATATTTGGTCATATAATTTAACATAATACCCTGTATATATATTATATGAATATATCTACATATATAATATATATGAAACGTATAATTTTGACTATACATTCACACGTTATTTTTACCACCATTCGCTAAACTTAAAATCTCAGCTTTTTAAAGACATATTTTTAAATATCTAACATTCATTTTTTAAAAACATTTCTGTATACATCTATTAAATATCTCAACAAATTCATGGTGATTCTCTCGTATTTCTCGTCGTCTTTGTTTTCTATTTTATATATATGAATATTTGTATATTTATATATACTTATACTTTTTTTCGACGTTTCTTTACGAAGTTTATCTCTTTGCATTTGAAAAATTCATTCTCTCATTTTTTTGTTGAAAGAATTCTGTTCATTTTTCTCGCTAGATTTGCATTTTCTGTTGGCTGGTTAATTTTAATGTTGTTAAAAAAAAAAAGAAAAGAAAAAGAACATTTAAAAGACGCTTCAAACAATGTTGAAAAAATGATAAGATTATTCGTGATATAATACGGATAGTACAAGTATGATTTTTATTAATTTTTATTTATTATCTTTGTTTTTTGCTTTTCAAGATATATTCATTTGTTCGTACTTTCACAAAGAACGATTCTGATATCTTCGAGTCGCAAGCAAGGGTTGAAATATTCGTGAATCCTTTCCAATTTCTTATTATCAGACTCTCTCTTTCTAATTTCTAATTTCTATCGTAGAAAGATTCAGTTGAATATTTTTCACCGTTTGGGTATGCACGGTATATACATTTATCTTTTCTTCATCATTAATGAGAGAAATGTAATATTAATCGAGTGTATTTTAGGGAGCATCTCATTTCTAATTTCCTTTTATTCGAAGTAAATTAGAGAGACTCGCAACGTGATGATTAATCACTGATGAAATTATTTTAGCAGTATCCACGTCAACGTTTAATGTAGATTATTATGGTAAATAATCAATTGTGATGTCACAACACGGGTTGATTTTTTTTACTGACCACCACCTAATATATTTTATATTACCCAGGTATATTTATAATATACCTGACATTTTTACGAGTTCTACACGAAAACAAAGACTCGTTTTTATATCATGTATTTACCTTTTTCTCTCCATAGATTTTTCGTTTATCTTAACGTTTAATGCCAACCAAAACAAACATTTCGATTATATATATATTTAGTTTAGCGTTATTTAGTGCGATTCTCGCGATAATAATAATAAAATACTAATAATAATAATAATAATAATAACAACAATAATAATAGTATTCATCATTATCATCATCGATTTTTTTCTTTTCTTTATAATTTTCAAATTCATTTGTAGAATAATAATTGACGTTAAAAGAGCGATTCGTTTTTGGAAATATTTTCATCTTCCAAGTATCCAAGTACCATTAAATTTCACGAGCTAGCAAATATGACGTAAGTATGTTTAAACACTTTATTTTTCCTAAATTTCACTCTATCGTAGGTACGTATGCGTATGTACGATCATTACAACACGCTTTCCAAGAGGAGCATAGATATATACTTCTTATAATATTCATATATATAAACGATATTTATATAAACAAATGTATTTAATATCTTTTATACATATAAAAACACAACAGATACGTAAAGTTTTCTTTTTCCATATATTTTTCTTTTATTTTATTTTATTTTTATTTTTTTTTATTTTTTAAAAGTAGATCGATCAAATTAATCTCTTTTTCTCTCTTTTAAATTTCTTTTCTTTTTCATCGTTCTACGATTGACTATATAATACAAGAAACATTTTCGATTACCAATCAGACAAGTAAACGTACGTATCGAAAAAAAAAGAAATAAATAAAAAAAAAACCGTAACAATTCTGTATTTTACAAATCGAGCAAGGATACGTCGTAGCACGGCTATATTTTATCACCATATATAACCCATTGTTAGAAGTGCACTTTCAGGATAATAATATGTTAGACATACGTTTTTTACTTATTTACAAAATTTTTCTCGTACGCTTTTTTCTGTATTTTTCTTTTTTCATTTTTCTTTTTTTTTTCTTTTTCATTTCTCTCTCATCGTTTTTTTATCGTAGTATTTATTATATTCCTATAAAGCGGATGTCATCCTCAACGTAAAAGACTGATAAATACGAGTATTCCGTATATATATATATATATCTTTTTTTCCTTTTAGTAAATATACCTTATACTTACATAAGTGTATCTCCTTGTGCGAATTATAGTATATCGTATGACCTTTAAATAGTTATATTAACGCCACTTTTTGAGGCAATTTCTTTGAAACTTTCGTAACAATAAGATGAACATGTAGTGAGAAAAAGGTCGAAACGTGAAAGTGGAATACGAATTTCAGCCTTTCGTCTTCTTTACGATTTGCATATTAAGTGCTATCATAGTTAGTACATGTGCACGAACTATAACATCTCTTGAAATCTAAACAATAAATCTCTTTTCTTTGTCAACTATTCAGCATTAACCATAGAAATTAACACTCATGTTAGTTCCTGCAATATATCAAGTAGAATGTCTTTTTTTCTTTCCTCTTTTTCTTTAATGACTTTTCATGTTCTTATTTACACGACAACCAAACGCTTGTTTGTGCATTTTATCTTATTCGATCCAATAAATTGACATAATCCCTCGTATACACGCGAAGTAGTTTCATTTAACTCTACGATTATGGTTTTTCGAAAATGACAAAAAGAGTCGTGTAAATTTTAATAATTCTGGCTTTTCGCGTCGATCGATCGATTAATCCTTTCCGCAGAAAATCACGTACGTATGTATGCGCAGTTTACATACATATGTATTTTCCATTAATCGCGCTGGACGCATTTGTAAGATTAATTTACGTATATTCGCGTTAACAGTAGGCACGATAATAATAATAATAATAATAATAATAATAAAAATCACAATAATAGTAATAGTAATAATAATAATAATAAAAATGATGATGACGATGCAAATTATAAGTATATACAGTCGCAAATTTTCTACGATTGAAAATTCTGTGTTTCGAAGATGTACGTACTTGTCTACTTATGTATCTATCGAAATAGAGATTATTTTAAGAACATATTTCTTGTATTTTACTCGAGAAGGCTGTGTTTTAAAAGCAGTTTGATGGTAATTGACTCGAAATAACGAGAGAAAATCAAATAAAAATCGCTTCTCGTTTGCTGTGTAACTTTATCTTTCATTGAAAGTATATCATCATTGTGTATGCTACATTGATGTTATTAAATAATAATAATAATAAAGAAAAAAATGTGAAAATAGTATAAGAATATAATACTAACATTAATTGTAAAAAAATATGCTGATTATCCTTCCCTTACAAGAAAGTTCTCAATCGAAAGAAAAGTAGACAAGTTTTGTATTTGTTTTCGACTGAAATGTCGAGAAGAATATAATGAATAACAGATGTCAGTCTCTCGGTGATGATACACCTTGTTTTCTCGTTTTTAACACTTAAAAGGATTCAGACGTATTATTTAAATGGCCGAGTTGAATATTAAATTGCGTTAAACGTGTATTCACAAGTCGACGTACAGAAAAGTGATTCTGTAAAATAAAATATTCTGATTAAGCGATACTTATATATGAACATTACTACAGTTCGATCTTTCGAAAATTTCATAAGTATATACTTTACGTACACATTTTATATTTCAGAATTTACTTGACTATACATGTATCCTTAATATTTAAGAAAAATGACGATACGAAAGAAAGAATAAAATAAAATAAAAGAAAAGAAAAAACTGAAATCTTTTAGATTTACATTACTATACAGAATCAAAAAGGATATTTCTTTCTCTCCGGGAGTACGCGATTTTTCGAGTGCTATAAAACGAGTAGAGACAGATATTTTTACAGATACTCGACGATGTCGCACTTTATCGATATGTTCGGACAACTCGCTATGCTAGCACCGTACCCACTCCTTGCATTACTTTTGTGTCTCTCGGTAAGGAGCTTCTGAAATATCGGCAGTAATATCGCCCGGTCCAAGAGTTCGCCGTCGGAGGCAGCACTGTATATTTCCCCACCACTTGACGTAATTCCAGGCCCAACTCTGGACCCAACACGGACACCACCCCCACCACGACCCACACCACCCGATCCAAGGATACCTTCGCCACTTCCACCTACGTCCCCAGCACGTGGGTTCCCACTTGCATACTTGCTGTTATGAATTGTCGCTACATTTGGAGTACTTTGAACGTATTCCAAGCGAGCCTGTTGATGACGTAACTTGGAATCGGTGTGTCTACATTCTCGAACCTTACGTGAAGTGGCAGCACGATGAGGACACTCGGAAATTGAATGACCACCGCTTCGAGCACGCAAACATTTTTCTCGTGATCTCTCTGATACCGAGCGTTGAATAATCGCTGAAGCTAACTCCTCGCACCTTTCTATTAAAAAAAGTTACAAGTAATATATAAGAATAACTCATATAAGAATTATAAAATGTAGAAAAGACATTAACCAGTGTCAGAGTAGCTCGCGTTGACCACGGCAGGCACACTCGGCGAGCTGGCATTGTGAGAATCATGATGTTTACGATGTCGTCGCGGTGCTGGTGGTGTTTCAGCAGAACCATTAAACATTGCGTGACTGTGTCCACGTCCGCCATGTTTTTCGCATCTGTAGCCGGTAACTAAACTACGCCGGTGGCCACACTCCCCAATCACGTATGCTTTGTCGAAAGTAGTTTGAATGTCGTTCTTACCACTCGACTTGGATACGTTTTCCGTCGAAATGTAGCTGATCGAGTTAATTGGTACGCTCGTTCTTCGACGTTCCGATAGTTCATGATGAGAATGTGCCAAGGTATCATTCCTCACGGATGATCTTCTTTTTAAAGACTGATGTGATGGCACTGATCCTGTGTTAAGATCGAACCAAACAATTACCAAACTTTCATCAAATACACTTGTAAAGTATCCGTCATTCATTTTGATGAAATTTTACAGATATTTTGTATATAATCTATATAAATATCTAATAAAAGTGTGACTATCTTTAACTATCATAAACTAATGAAGGTAGAAAGAAAATTACAAAGTTATTTGATTTCTCGATTGATATAAAAACAGAAAAGAATATTTTCAAAATCGTTATAGTTTTAAATCAAAGTTTTTGGTTACTCTTATACCCTTACTTATTTTATGTATTTATTGTTTTATCGATACAATAAGTTTATTAAAACCGGAAGCACCCATATCACGAATGTTTCTTGTCATTTTTCGAAATACAATATATATTTGTCAAGTTTTTACGTTTTAAAAAAATTCTTATGTTTATTCAATATCTATATATTTATAATTAAAAAAAAAACTAACCAGAATGTCGATGTCTCGGTGGAATGAATTGTAATGGCGGAGGAAGAATATGCTGGTCGGAGTATGTCTGATCATGTAATTCACTGAAGGATACATTTTTGGAAGTTGGTGGTGTCGGCAGTCTCGCTCTCTCCTCATCCTTTTTCATAATGATTTTAGCATCTCGGGGGATAGCAGTTTCCTCGAGTACGATTGAATCAGTTTCCTCGGCGGCCTCTGGAACGAATTCGACGTTCATCTTACCTTCCGAACGTGGTTCCGGACTTCTTTCGAGCAACGGTTCGCTATCTTGATTTTCATCGCCAATATGACTTTTTCTACGAGCGGTATCTTCAACAGTAGTGTGCTTCAATGCCGACGGAAGAATCAATGGTAAGCGTTCGTTATCGACTGCGATGGTCGGTACCTTCCCAAAGCTCGTCTTTTTTCTGAAAAATGGGCACCACTTGATTATTTCAATATTGATGATGGCTCCGAATTGCCGAGTATATACTCATTATATTCAATATTGAATGCCTCGATATTTACTTTTTGTTGCCATTATTATTATTGTTCCTGATTAAAATTGATATAATTATAATTATTATTAATATTATATATAAAAAAGATTGACTATATATATATTATATTTTTTTGCAAACAAAATTATAATTTTTTACGCCCATCTGTTAGAGGATATTAAGACAAATTCAGTAAGTACCATAAAATAATATATGTTACTTTTTTTCATCGGGGTCGAGAAAAGATTAACACGGAACGCTGAGTGGTCGCCGTTTTTTGCAGCCTGAACGGAAAGCAGAGCAAAGGCAGCTCTGTGCTCAACGTATAAAACTTTCTTGACCCAGATGAAATAAAAGTAGCATGTTATTTTATGATACTTATCGAATTCATTTTAAAATTACCTAACAGGAACAAATATTGACAAAAAAATTGGTTATATACATATTGAAGTTCTCTTGAAATCATGCAATATATGATAAAAACATTTTCGATTGGACTGCTAATAACAGAGTAATCTCTACCGATCACACTTTGTTGGGATTCACTTTGTTTAATAAATAAGTAAATTATTATTATTATAATTGTCTTCAGTATTATCAGTATTACGTACTTTGCAGCCTGTTCAACGATACTCGCGTTCACGTAGTCTCCTTCCGTTTGAGATACGGTCATCGAAGTCAAGCTGCACATAGACATCGAAATATCGGTTGTTTCCGTAGTTAAAGATGGACCTAAAAACAATGGAAGAAACTAGTTAAATACATTTTCTTTTTTTATACTTATTCTTCATTTAATTTTGGCTAAAATGTAAAGATTTTTGTACTATAAAAGTGTCTTCTCTGAATATTATGTTCGCTATATTGTGCAATTCTACGTGACAAAACATGTCACACACATCACAAAAACATGTCACGTGTGTTTCTTAAACTCTAAATGCAAATACAATGGTATCATATATCAATAATAAATATCGCTTCATATACTAAGTAAGTTATTTTCTACTCATTCATGAATTACAACTTTGAATGCAATTCTTTTCGAAGAAGCGAGCGAACGTTCCTTGATAATTCTCGATTAAGTGTGTCATAGTATCATATTTTAATGTGAGAGCTAAGGATGCAGTTCGAATGACCATTCCTCGCAATTACGAAGGTGTAACTGTAAAAATATGATTGACTTTATTACGTATTCGTGAACCAATACTTTTCTTCTTTTTTATTGTACGTTTTATTATTATTATTGTTATTATGTGTGTGTGTGTGTGTGTCATGATTATTATTTTCGACTATCAGCTTTAAGTGATCGTACTTTCACGATAGTAATAAAGAATTGGTATACGTACACACTGTATTATACTAGCAAATGCTACATTCCTGAATTTCAGTTACGGATGCATCGTTCATATTTATAATTGTTGGTGCGCTAACTGAGCGGAAGAACTTTTTCAAATGGAAAAATGAAAAAATTAAATGAATAAACTTTATCAAACAATGAACACAGTATGCGCGACGGATAAAATGATGTAAAAAACGGAAAACTGTGAATCTATTGGCGTGAAACATGTTTCTAGAAACATTGCGTGCATCATAATGTGAAAATGTAACTGGAAAAGAGTTTCAGGTATTTTTTTACAAAATATAAATGTATAGGAAGGTATATACAATTTTAGAAATATAATGAAGAGTATTACAATAATTTTTTGATTATTATATTATATAATATATCGAAGAAATTCTAAAATAAAATTAGCATAATGTATTAAAGCTGGATTAAAAGCAATTAAAAAGCAGATTTGCTATATTCGTTACATCACTTCTTTTTTTCTTGCAGATTACGTCGAATACGACGATCAACTGACCTTTGTGATTCTGAATGCCATGCCTCTGGATAGTGGGCTCTAACATACAGAGTGGGAGAATAAGTAACTGTTCAGTGCAAGATAGGCTTTCGCAGTGAATGATTTCGCATACATATGTTTTTATTAACTTCATTATTAACATCGTTATGTTATAACGTATTAAATATAACGTTGACGTTTATAAAGATATATCATATATATAAATATAATATACACATAATATAGATTCTATAAATAGTATCTATATAAAATTTACGATGAAAGCATCTGATGATTGTTAGCTTGGATGCGATTAGGAAGATATACATCAATGAATCAAGATAATTGTTAGAAATTGTAATTACCTTCTTTCTTTATGATCCCTTCTTGTCTTGGGACAGTTAGCCTGTCCATAGCTTCCTGAGTGTCCGCTACACCATCCTCACCAATTTTTCTTAGGAACATCTGACGTAATAAGGTTCAAAAAAACACATGAGATTGTACTATTACATACTATACGATGAAAATATCAAACGAATAATCGTAATTTAAATAATCCTCACTTACTTGAAATTCGCTTTCTTTTTCCAAAAGCTGTTTACGAAACTTTTGATTAGCTATTGTTGCTTCTTTCAGTCGTTCCTCTAGCTCGCTAACCGTGGAATCCCTTCTTGCCTTGGATACTGGCCTCAAGGTTGGTCTCATTCTCTTATCGATTGCACCCTGCGGATTTCTTCGCAACTCTATCAGCTAGTTCATGAAGAAAAAGCACCGTTGAGAATTGCATTTATTGGCAATAAAGAGAAACTGTCACACTGGTATCAAAAAAAAACAAAAAAAAAAAAGAAAAAAGAGAGAAAAGAAACAAAAGAGAAGAAGTTACAATAACGAAAAGTTACCTTGGGCACAAAAACGAGACAGAGGGTAGCTGTACTGCAGAATATGATAAAAACGGAGAGCATAATGAACATGGCGTCTTGCTTATCGGCAAGAACAAAACTTATGGCTGCGCCGGTAACGCACATTATCACAACATTGTAAACGCTCATGCCGACATATTTGCTGTCGTTCAATGCTGGTATACTGACATGTCGTGTCTCCCACGCGAGGAACGCACCGAAAATCTGAGGAAAAGATATTACTTTGGTCAGATTTTTACTCGACTGTATTAATATAAAAAAGGGAAACTATTATTAAACTAACCATTAGGAGGCCCTTATAAGCATATATACAACCCATGTAGACGGTCATCCGGTTGCTCTGGCAATACTCGTTTTCCGGTATAATGATGATATCTTCGCTCGAGGGATGTAACTGCGAGAAGAAGGAAGTAGAGAGGAACATTTTATAAGTATGATCGTTGAGTGTAATCGGCCGAGCGCGAGCTTTTCAAGCAGCCGAGGGCTCAGTGCCAAAACGATAGGTATCCACTCGTCAGAAAAAAAGGAGGGGGAGAGAGAGTTAGTGAGACTTAAAGAGAGGTAAGAGCTTCGAGAATTATTTCCGATAACAACATTGAGTGTGGTCCGGAGGGCCGATTGTTGGCAAAACGCTACCGATGATTGCTTTTTTTCCTTCTCTACCCTACTTCTTACCACCACAACTACTCGACTTGTTGTATCCCTCACTACCACCATCTCTTCTCTTGCTTTTTCATTATCTCGCTCAAACGTGAAACTTCTCTTTCTCTATATCTGTCCCGAAAGAGAAAGAGAATGAGTGAACTCGACCTTTTTAGGATCTTCCTTTTTTTTTATTAGGTGTATATATAGGTACTTCGTCAAATGAAACCGTTTTTTATTTCGCTTATTACATTTCTTTTTCATTTTCTATCCAAAAAGAAAATGTGAGATACTTGTAACTACATAAAATTAAAATTATATTGTTCACATTATCTCGTTCGTATCTTTATAGTCTCCTATCATATTTATTATAATATTGTGTGAATGTGTGTGTTAAATAAAATTATAATATAAATAATAATAATAATAATAATAATAATATTGAGATAGGATTACTAGTAATTTAAAATATAATGTGTAATAGGATATTATAATATGGCTGTAATGTGTGTGTTACTACTTTAATTTAAATATTATAAACAAATTAAATGTATTTAAATAACATAATTGAATTAATTTACAGAATGTTAATATTATTCTAAGTATATAACCATTGATATATGTTGGATGTCATTCAGAACCTTTGAAAAAATATTTTCTTTCTTGTTTTTATATAGGATGAGTCAGAATTGAGAATAAAATTTGTACCAAGTGTGGAAACGCATTAATTTACATACGTACGAATAAATATATTATTTATTAATTCATCGGGGATAATACACAGGTCGAAATGACTATTGCAATAGGAAATACGCGTGTCTTGACTTGGAGTTGCGCGAACATTAATGAAATGTTCTCCGCGAGCGCACAGTCGATATTCCGAAGAGCTTTTCCTTAGTGAGTGAGCTTGAGTAAACGAGATTCCGAGAAGCACACCCTCTGAACCGTTCAAAGACGCTGCTCGATTTACTTTTAGATTTTTTGCTCTTTTTCTTTTTTTTTTTTTTTTTTTTTTTAACGTACGAATAATTAAGTATCTCGTCCTTTTTAAAATTATTTACTTTCTGTTTATTATTAAAAGATAAAAAATATGATAAAACATAAAGAGGAATAATATGTTTTATTCTGTAAAATAATATTTCTTTTCTATTTTTTCTTTATTTCTCTCNGATATTCCGAAGAGCTTTTCCTTAGTGAGTGAGCTTGAGTAAACGAGATTCCGAGAAGCACACCCTCTGAACCGTTCAAAGACGCTGCTCGATTTTTTTTTTTATTTTTTTTTTTTTTTTTTTTTTTTTTTTTTTTTTTTTTTACGGGAAGCTTGTATTCGTTCGTTCACATAAATAAAAATATACGAGAATACTTGTCGATTAAAAGATAAAAAATATGATAAAACATAAAGAGGAATAATATGTTTTATTCTGTAAAATAATATTTCTTTTCTATTTTTTCTTTATTTCTCTCTTTCTCTCTATGTTATTTCATTAGAGTAAATAGAAAGATAATAATTAACAAAATCAGAAATAATTTTATTTTCGTTTTGTTTGAAATAATTTTGTTGAAAAATATTACTGTATTTTTTTGTTTAATTGCGCGAAACAAAGAATTATTATGTTTATCAATAAAAAAAAGTTCAGTTTAGATAAAAATTTGTTTTTTGTTCGAAAACAAAAAAGCAAGAAACTTACGTAAGGTTCCATCTGTTTAGTGTCCCGATAAAATGGATCAGCGATCTGCCACGTAGTCATGATCCCGAGGTCGATAAACAGGAGTACGCCGACCACCATGAAGAGCTGATAATCTTTTATAACCTAGATAGAATGAAGATAGTTCGTATGAAAAGTAGATAAAGGAAGAAGATATTTGCGAGAGAATCCTTTTTGTTGAGCAATCTAGTCCATGACAAGGAAACTTTTATATTTTTTATAAAAAAAAGACACTTTTATGGATAGTCAACGTATTTAAATTAAAGTAATAACGCGAAAAGAACAAAAAATCGTATTTTTTTCTGCATACTGCGAAAATCGAATGGTACCCCCATAGATGGAATTAGTGCAGCTAGTAAGTATTACTCACCTTTTTGTTTAACTTCACATCGGTAAATATCGAATGCACTCGCCAAGTTTTCGAGAACATGGAGCCGAAAGCTAATGAAAATCCAGCCATCAAAAGCCAGGCCCTTGCGGTACAAATATACGGGAACGCGGTAACACTCGACAATTGTGAGTCTAATCCGAGAAAAATGACGCTACTGTATGTGAACATACACCCGATGATGATGAGATTGTTCAGATGTGGCGATGACATTTTTATGTATCTGAAAATTAAAAATAAATACATTGTGTTTATATTTTAATTTTTTTTAATCTTCTTTATTGTGTTGAAAAAAAATTCAATAACAACCGAAATATGTATTAATAATATTTTTCATAACTAATAGGTAATTTTTAAATTTTTATTTATTTAATGATCTCTATTATTCCTCTTTTTTTTCTTTTTTATTAAATTCATCAGTTTTATTCCTTTTTCTCCATCTCTAAAATCCATTGCGACGCTTTGCCCACTAGATCACGCTTAAAACTTTTAATTAACTCCACTGAATAATTAACCGCATTTTTTTCCACATTCTTGTCAGGCTAATCCACTAAAAAGTCATTACGAATGATGCTATGTTTCAAACTGGGCGACCCCGTGCTATCTATCTCTTCAACACTTTTTCATCTCTTTCAAATGAAATTTCTAGTTTTTAATTAAAACTAAATCATAAAAGTAGGCAGTGGTAGATAGCGGTGTGCCGATACTACTGCTACTATTTACCATCTCAATTTTTCTACAAAATCTCGCTTGTGGAAAAGGGATTTCCCATTCGTTTCGTTGTTAGCACAAAATCGCTCGAAAGAGACCATCTAGAGGTTAACCGAGTAGAAGCAACGACGATCGAGCCTTCGAAAACTTTTAACTCGTTCTTCTCGCCGAGGAACATCGAAGGCTCCTTTTATCGTATTTCACGCTTCACATTTAACATGATAGAACAAACGTAATTTACAGTTTTCACTTATACAGAAATAGCACGTTTATAAAGATTGATATGTTACAAATAGGGAAAGGAATGTTCTCTCAAAAGAAAGATAATACTGTTAAGGAAACAATGAGAACAAATGGTTTTAATTTAATTATACCTTTGATTTCTATATCTTATATTTATGGCAAGGAAGACGACCGCCATGATGATGCCAACACTTGCAATGGACGCCAATAATGCGTAAATTTTAATATTCACGGTTGAATGTTCAATGATGTGAAGAGTTCGATCTTTTGGTGGTGATTTGCCTCTCCAAACTAAAGAGCCACCTTTACTCAGGTCTAAAGTGTCTGTCATTCCATCGTATTCGCCAACTTTAACCTCGGTACCACCTAGAATCAACAATATTATTGCTTTAATATAATAGCAAATAATAACAAACATTATCTTTCTTTATCATTTTAAATTGATTTATTATATTACATACAAAGTGTACACATATAATATAATATAAATCAAAATATATATTTGTGAATTTTTATCTGGTCGTTAAATCGACTACATTAAGCAAGATAGAACATTGAATAAATATTTGCAATGTCGGTTTTGAGTGCGTTTGGTAAGATTAGAGAGAATGGTATATGATTCGAGAGAAGAGAAAGCATCACAAGTAGTTGGAAAGTGACAAAACTTGATATTCGACTTTACGTCTAGGACCAAAGATAAAGGAGAGAATCTTTGTGATTGATTATACGATCAGCCGTCGTCGAAACTTTATCCAAAGTAATTCCTCCAAACCACTAGCTTTTCTCGATTTATCCTCTTTCTTTTATCTCTTCATTTTCTTCTGTTCTCTTTGCATCATTAGAAAGAGAAAGCGCGAGAACGAGAGAATGAGAGAGAGAGAGAGAGAGAGGGAGAGTATACGATATAAAACTGAAACAACATCTTTATGAAAGAAGGAGAGAGAGAGAGAGAGAGACAACATAGAATCCACAAAATCGTGATTCATCTTGAAGTAAGCGAAGGTTTTATAAAATTCGATTATCATTCTTTTTAACGGAGACAGATTTACTATACGTCGCTGCGTACATTTACATTTTCGCGAAGAAAGAATAAACACGATATTTTATCGTAGATTTTACTGTTTATTATTTTTTTTATCAACTTTGTGCTAGCTTTTTGATTCTTGTCTTTTTATGAGAGAGAATTCAATTATTAGTAATTAAATTACTTCCTTCTCCCCCCTCCGTTTTTAAAACTTATTCTACTGAAGCACATTATATAAATTAACCGAAATTGTCTGAGCATTTTACAGAATGACTGGGTAATCTATGAAATACATGCTCATCATATACATTGATAGAAAAATAAATAATATGACGAAGGAGTGAGAGAGGGAGGGGGAGAATTCACTCACTTTGAAACTGCTTCAATAAGATGTAAGCCTTCCTCTCGTTTTCAGTGAAATGCACGGGTCCCTGCGAATAAAGAAAATGTTCTTTCAGTTATTTTCAGACGATAAACAAATAACTGCATTTGATCAGATTATTTTGGAATACATTATATATGAAAAACATTATTAAGACATTTTTGTTTCTAATTTTTTGGACATTTCTGCTAGGAAAATTTCTAAAAGTAGTTTTTCCCTGCGTATTTTGCTTTTGAATCGATATTCGTATTGCGGATTAAATTTGAAGTTGCGATATGGAAGAGAGAATCGTAACGATGGATACCATGTGGTCACGTACGTTTTGGTGTGAGAGAGGTTACGTTGTTTCAGGGACGACGTACACTCAGGGCAGTATGGATTCAATTAACGGTACAGCACGGTAACGTTGTTTATAACATTAACTACTTGCTGAGCCAAAAGGTCCCGTGACTACATTACTAATGTGCAAAAGGAAAGTGAAGCGTATGTTATTTCAAAATTAAACGAACTAAACTAAATGTCAGTAGCATTACATGAATGTGTATGTAACATGTGTTACGTGAGTTAGATTTATACGATTTCAATGCGTCAGTGGTATTTGTTTTCAAAACGAAAAATTCATTTCGATGAACTAACTACTATCCTGCAAACAATTTTTCGACATTTTGAATTGTGAATACTTTGCATTTTATGTATTACTGTATGCATTGACAAAGGTATATTATTAATTTTCTTCTGAATATGCATACAAATTGAATTGAGAGAAGCATCAATTCCGTTTCGTGGCGATGAGATAATTAACTTTTTTCCTCTTAAGATTTTTCGATTTAAGCGTAATATTTATGTATTACAATTTTTTCGATTTATTGGTAGAATGCATCAAAATGTTGTATATGATGCACGATACAAACAAAATTCTATTTGGTTATTAAAATTCTTTTTGGTGGACTCTTTAGTAAGACCTTGTATAATCCTAATCGATGGTGTATGTATTAAACTATACAAACTTACCTGAGGAAGCTACTCACCGTTACACCTATAAAGCTCGTGTTCTTGAGAGCCTCCAGGAATAGCGTCTCCCAAAGTGTATCTCTGTATTTGAAATCCGATATAGTCTGATTCCGACGAAAGTGCCGTATTCTACGTGCTGCACGTTGTATAGCTAATGCTACTGCCCAAATTCCATCATACGTGTATCCGTGAAATCTCGAATACTCCTTTCCCCTTCTCGAATCGTACTCGGCTTGATACTGATCAGGTGTCTGAAAAATAAAAAAAAAATAAAAAAGTAACATTCTCGTGTATACTGTTCTATTTTTGTTACATTTTATAAAATACAAGCAAAGCATTGTATAAGCAATGAGCAAAATAAGATTTATGGGGTATCGAACGGAGGCTAAGAATTAAGATTTCTCTTGGGAAAAGCGGTAGTTAGCATAAGATCAAAATAGATTTAGGTACGAATAATCGACTTATATATAATTTAGAACAGTTAATCTATGGTAGCAGGTGTACAATTAATAGTAGTAATATAGTATCGGTAACTATGGGTGAGCTTAAAATAATAACTTTGGTTTCGATCTGGTTTATGTTATAATATCTTGCTCTGTTAATTTTTGTAATCAAATTGATACTTGTTAAACCATTTGCATCATAAGGAAGAATGGAAAATAATGATCTTATTAACAATATTTCTTTTATTTGTAGAAGATTTTTTTGTAGAAGAAATGAATATAAATAATACTATAATATAAGAGAATAAAGAAAGTTTATTTGATTAATAAATTAGATGGAGATGATCTATTAGAAATGCAATTTTATGATATATCTACCCTTTAACTTTCTTCTGTTAATAAAAATAAGATAATAGTAATTTTTGATGGAAAGAGATGGAACGAATTACCTGTAATAATAAGTTTAATGATTAATTATCTTGTTTACCAACAACGAAAAAGGACGATCATAAAGTTTTTTATAAAAAGTATTTGCTTTTACTTACAATGCCAGACACTGTATAATGCTTTTCGGTTGTTAAGGGTAAGAGATCTGTCAAGATGGCGCCGTGCAAAGCTTCCGCAAGCTCGGAGGGTGCACAACCACCACCGGGCCGAGTCCACCACTCTTCTGCATAAATGCCCATTACGACCCATTGGTACTTTCTTCCGTACATCCCGAACCTAAAAAATCACAGACATATATGCCTGATAAGTTAGAAATAAATTAATGAAAATAGAGCAGAAGAAAACGAAATAAGGAGACGAATTGCTTTGAGTGGTATTTTGGACTTGTTGGAGATCAGTTGTATTTTACAATTAGATCATATTACAGAAAAGTTGCATTCCAAGATCACTTGAATTTGACATTACACGTAAAACAATTACCAAAGCAGGTGCAAGTTGCAAGCTTGCAGTTGTAATTCGGAAAAGAGATCATCAGAAATCACATTAATTCTTATACCAGGAGATCTCAAATAACTATTACAAAGCAATATAATTGTAAATATGCTTTCAATAAACTTATTGTTAATGAAAAATGAGATATCGTGATATCACAATACTTACATCCTATAACACGTTAATTCAACGGCATAAGCGATATTTAACATTTAACCATGATCATTTTAAAGAAAATATCACTAATTTAGAATGTTTTTCTTTCTTTTAGTTTTATAAATTAACTTCCTAATATTTCCGAATTTTGTTTTAATGATAATAATAATACTAGTAATAAATATTAATATCTCATTATTCATTAGATGTAGTTGCAAGATAAATTTTTTTAGAATTATTACAATATAAAGTTTCGATGTTTTATTGGCAATATGCATACAAAAACTGACATGAATACGCATTTATATTTCTCAGAAAAATTCTACATCATTATATAAAGCAACATATAGCATAAAAACCATACAAAATGTTTGACTTTAACGGTTTTAGCTAAATTATTTATTGGTAAAAGAGTAGGATATCATATATATAAAAACGAATAAATCGTAAACACAAACTAAAATAATTTGTACGTCCAGAATACCAACTTGTAGGCCTCGCAGAATATCCTTCTCGCCCAGTCTTCATTAAAGTTTCCAAGAATGATCCTTACGTCCTTCTCTTTCAGCTTCTCAAGTGCCGTCGTGACATCCGTTGCAAAACTCTGTGTTTCCACGACCTCCATCTTGTTTTTATCCAAATCAGAGACCAAATGATTGTGCGCCTGTGATTAAAAAAACATACAAAATTCCATAAAAATATATAGTAGATATACCAAAATATATCGTATAATTAAAGTACGCATTCCGAAAAATATTATTTTCTTTTCTTCTTATATAATTTTTTTTTTACTCGTTTTTTCTTTTCAATGAAACAATAAATTCGTTGCGTTAGATTGGATTCATACAAATTTCCACGGGAAATGCAAAATTGTTTCAATTAAAATGGGAAATTAACTACAATAAATAGATTGGAAAAGATGCTTGTAAAGATCAGAAATTTTCTCTCAGTAAATATTATTATTCACATTTAAAATCAGTTTATTACGTCTCTCTATTATTAACCAGCGATTCGATATCGTATCTATCACGGTTACGATTACATTTCACGATTTGTTCTAAGTTATTTGCAAGACTTATAGAAAGATATTAATTTCCAAGGAGAAGAAAGATGCTGCATTACAAGATAGTAGATGCAAGTCGAAGATGTTATCGGTTTAATTACAATCTTGCGACCTAGAAGCTGTGATATTAATTCACCTAAATATATATAGTCATGTAAATAGATTCACGAGAGAGAGAGAGAGAGAGAGAGAGAGAGAGAGAAAGAGAGAGAGAGTGAATGAGCAGACACAAAAGCTAGTAGTTGTAAGGGGCCATCTGACGTTTGCGTATATCTTTGACAAATTTATGGATGCCGAAGTTCCTGGTGCTGCTTTATGCACGTAATAATGTGCAAAATGTTTGGGAAGGATGGTGAAGGAGAATACGGTGAATAGGGTGGGGATACAAGTATGTACTCTCACCAAACCGTGAAAGGAATTTGCATTTGGCAGGCATCTCTCTGTAAACTTTGTTCTGCATTGTGAGTACGCATCATGTTCCCTCCTTTTCTCAATTTCTTACAACTATAGATGCCATTATTTTTCTATCTGATTTTTTTTCTCTTATAGTTAACAGCCTACCTCTTTTAAAGATACCAACCGTAGTATTTTTTAAAAGGGAACTTTTCATACTTTCTTATTCGAACTTTTTTCGGATGATTTAGTATACTTTCGATGACAACGTGATATACATACCTATGGTTCGTAATACGGCTGTAGACGTCATGGTTTCGAGTAAAATTTTGAGATGAGTTGAAAATAAAATAAAGTGGATGTATGCTGACTTGTTCTTTTTGTAAGTTTCTAACGAGCTCCTGTTGTTTTTTTCACATTGCAAAATGAATTATCATTATTTTTTCCATATAAATTTATATACGTTTATGATATTGTTATTACAGATATAAACGAATTAAACAAATTTATGAAATCAATTCATAAAGTAGAAATGTTTTCGTTAAGTCAACTCTCGTAACACATATACATGAGACATAACTTCTCTAATAGAAGTTATTTAAACTCACTAGAATACAGCAAATATTAGATTAGCAGTATAAAATGAGATAAATTTCGAAATTGAGATTAGGTGTAACTCTTTTTACTTATAAGTCTTCGAATTACTTTAATGAAACAAAAATGAAAGCTATTTAAGTTTTCAATTCAAGTTATTTATACAGGTTATTGATGTAAATAGATTACACTGTAAACGTATATAAAATTATGTATTCGAACATATATATATATATTTTTTTTAAGCAAAACTTCTTAGGCGATGGTAACGATACAATTTTATAAAACAACATGAAAAGAGGGGGAGTATAGAGATAGGAGATGAAAAAGGTGAGAAAGAAGATACAAAAGAAAAAAAAAAATTCAGTTGTTAGTTGACCGAGGTAATTGTAGGAATACAGTAGCTAGGGCCATCTATGAGCAAATTTTGGTTTCATATTTATAGACCTGGTAGTTAATTCTTGTTAATCCTCGTAAATATCCTGTTTGGAACAATTCGATTTTACGATAACGCAATAGCACCTGAACAATCAAGGAAGTTGTCTAAAGAAATCCAATGCCGTCTGACTAATGTTAAACAGCGTAATAAGCTTTATTTCTCTCGTACTATTAAATATTCAAGCCGGAAAACACTTACCTTCACGAATAGCTGTCCTGGTGTTTATTGTCTACTTCATCAACATCCACTGGCTATCTTGTGTTAGGGTTAGAGAGCGGAATACGCGTGAAAAGAAGTATCCACGAACGTCGTGTGACGTCCTGCTACATTTTTTATACAAAATTTTCGCAGTAATAGAGTTAGACCATAGAGTTAGCTCCAATAGTCCGACTGAAAGGCTAGCAAGACTGAATTCTAGTAGTTTAGGTAAAGGACCAATAAGACCCATTTTTAGTAGTTCAAACAAATAGCTAGCACGACCAAATTCTAGTAGTTCTGATAAAGTATAAGTAGAGATGAGGTTTTTTGGTAGAATAAAAGTAAAGAGACAGTTCTTATAGATTGAAGGTAATGAGATGATCAATACGAATGTGTATTGTCGTCAATTTGATGAAATGGATATTATAATTAGGCAGAAGCGGCCAGAATTGACGAATAGAAAAAAATGTTGGATTCCATTATGAGGAATCTTTGAATATTAAATAAAAGCTTCCATTATATTACTATACGAATACTTTTGACTATTACTGTAGATACATATTTTTGACTCTTTATTAATTGTATATAAAGATTATTTGAGATATTATATGAATGAAATAAACAAATAATGCAACTCGTTTAATTAAAAATAATAACGAGGAATAAAGCAATTTTATAACTTTACTGTATATATTTTCATGTATTCATTATACGGCTAACATTAAAGAAAATATATTTATGTAAGATAATGTGTTGGTAGATTTTTTTTTTCAATTATAAATCGTATCACTGACGTATATATTTTACGTTACCACAAAGTCCTAATGATCTTCAAAGTTTAATTATAAATTAAATTTAAAATCATAAATTTTGTTTACCAAAGCGTATCGTGGCTCGTTCTGATAGATGGTGCCCACTCTGGTCCAATTGAAATGCATCAGCAACGCTACACGTGGCGCGTTGAAAGCGTTTTCCGATGGTACTACTCTGAAGAAATTTGGGAAGCTGTTACTTGTGAACATCGGATGAGTGTCCGCGTAACTGAGCTGAAACACAAATAAAAGCAAAAAGAGATAATGGATGAAAGTATCTTATATTCTTCACTTAATTTCAGCATTTCTTCCATAGATCCTAAACGTTCAAGCCATACATATGTGTGTGGACAGAACATTAATGAATGTAAGAAAGGAGTTCGCTTAACAATGGTTGCTGACATTGCCTTGGGTAAAGTAAAGTGGCTATAAAGAAGGGATAAAATGATAAAAAAAAAAAAGATAAAAAGATAAAAGGAAAGAGAATAGAATAGAAGAGAATAAACTAAATGGTCGAAACAAGCGGAAAATTTGTCGAGTAAAAACAAACGAGGTCAAATGACTTTATATTTTTTTTATTAGCAAACCCTTCATGTTGTTGGCCAGGAAAATAATAACAGAAGTACCGTTTTCGAGTAACACGACATACCAAATTTTTCATTCGGAAATAATACGATGTGCTGGACTATAAGTATATGTACATATTTATGTATTTGTTTTTTTTTTTATTAACAGAGGAATATACAATAAAATATATATACAATTAATTCTCGGCGAGAAATATCTGAAAATTTATTTATAAACTGAAAATTGATATCACTTTATTTTTCTCGGCGTTTGCTTTTTTCTATTAAACTTTTGCATTGTTGGTTTTATTGACATATACGTTACTGGTTTCCGAAACAAGTTATAGAGAGAGGAACACACGAACTAACTAATATTATACCATTATACTAATCAACGAACTTCAATTTGATTATCTGTATCCTCATTATCGCTCACACGTAGATTCCTGAAGACTTTGATGCTCAGAGGATTAATTAAAGTTGATAGAACAGCATATGTAACAGAATATTTGTTTTCAAAGAATAGAAAGATATAAGACGGATATACGAGCACTCATCCGCGCTTATTTTTTTTGGTTTTCATAGTTTTCAAAGAAAATGTAATTCAATCCCTTAAATCAATCCCTTAAATCAATAGAAAAACTCTATTAAGAGATTAGATAACCTTCGCTTGGAAGACATGTCTTCTGTTTCTGAATTTACAACAGTGCAGTATAGACAGTTATTAAAAAACGAAAAATCGAAGAATATTTTTCTTATAAATAGTATTAAACTTTAATTTCATACTTTAATTACTCGCCTCTTGTAAATTCATATATTACCTTATGATTTCATAAAATAACTTGTTTAAGTCTATAAGAAGATTCTTTTTATACGCTTTTTCTAAATAGTCAGTTATTTCATAAATTAACTGAATTATATGATAAAACACCAATATATACATATATAAGTAACGTTTGCACATTTATAAATAATGTTGTATATAGCGGCTGGTGTAAAATATTTTGAAATATAAACACTAGACTTGGTATAAATTTCTGGAAAATGCAATACTAATTTTGATACATACAATTCATGGTACATTTTCAATTCCTTGTGTAAAAAAATATTACGTAGGGAAAAGATTTCTTTCGTGTGTATCTACACATAGAACAAGACCATATTTCACATATAAATGTGTTATACGCATCTGTGGATAGTTACACATGGATAGGAATTACTTGTATTTGCTAAAATTTTACATTTTTTTTTTTTGTGGAAAAGAAGAAGAAAAATTCATGTTAAATTCTCGGATCACTCGTTGCGTTTTAAAAAGAATTACACAGTTTCAAAAGGGAGTTGAAATACTTCCGCAACCTATTGTACGTTTTTACATCGACACATACATACGCACACACTATATATATATATATATATATATAAACATATAATATATAGTACACGTCGATCGTCCGAGAAGAAAGCTTTCATGGAATGCGAGTATTTCCATATTGAGGTCACGTATTCGTAAAAAGAAGGAGAACTTTTTCGTTCTCTTTCTCTTTTTTATACAATAAAAACATAACTGGTACCGGCCAAAGAGGCGCTAGAAATTCTTATGATTCATAAAAATCAAGAGAAAATTCTCATAAAAAAAGTAATTTTGTATTAATACTACTATACCTTGGGGCCAACTATTGATAAAATATTTTTGCTTTATTAATATTTTCTTTATATTTTTATGTTCATTGTATTTTGTTTTAAATTCACAGCAGGCGGAGAGGAATATACCCCAAACGCATGCAACTATACCTAACATAATATTCGTAAAAACGTGATGTATTTGTAAGAAATACCTCCCCCATGGAGAGCTCTGCTGTACATTTCACCCCCCTTTCTAGGGGGTAACATTTTATAAAGTACAAGAGTTTAATCTAGTCTATTAGGACTGACCACATCCACATTATCACCCACTGTGAGGCAGCAGCAAAACTGGACTCCCTGCTGCCATCACCATTTTCGCAGCGAGCGGAGTGATGTGCTGAAAAAACATCAGAGGAATACAGGGCAAGTCAGGAGATACCCCAGGAAAAAGATTCAGCTTCTCGGCCAACGCCGTCGTGGTAGAGGATGAGCTAGGAACTTTAACAATAGTCTTATCTGTATAGATATAACTAAAACAGAAAGGTCCTATTCCTGTTTCTTTTTTTCTCTTTTGTATTATTATTTTTATTTTTTACAGATATAATTTTTGCTTATCTTATAATTAAAACTTTTCGAAAATATTAATCAAATTTTTCTTTATTATATTTAATTACGGACACGTTTATAAAAATTATAAAACTAATTTTGAAGATTTAAGAGAAAGAGGAGAGAGGAAGAGTAAAGGATTATTAAAATGAGGAAAGGTGATATTTCAGGTAGCGGAATTCGTTTAAATCGTGACATCGAAGTTCCCAAGTTGCTTATATTAGATTGTAAATGCCTCCGCAACGTTTAACTCCTTTAAAGCAAGGATATCGCCTGTGGCCAAAGAGATAGATAGATAAATAGAGAGAGAGAGAGAGAGAGAGAGAGAGAGAGAGAGAGAGAGAGAGAGAGAGACAGACAGAAAGACAGACAGACAGACAGACAGACAGAGAGAAACGAAGTGAAGTAGATAAGATCGAATTCGAAAGGAGAGGTTGCAAGTGCCTCCGAGGAAGAACTATATGATAGTTTAAGCAGCTATCATATACGGACTAAGTTTCGTTTGTATGCGTACATAACATATATACATATGTATATATCTGAAACATAATCTTTCTTTTTCTCGAAATGTAGTGATGGGTTGTTGGAAACCAATTTTTGCAATATAAAGGAGAGAAATATTTAAAAAATGATAAATTTCTTTTATTTTATCGACTTCGTTTTACGATTAGTTTTATTATTAATTGTAAGTGAAAGTTAAAAAAAAAATATATATATTATGCAAACGTTAATTTATCCTGTATAGGATACATATATCTGATTCTTATTAATATTCGAACACCATATGAAGAAATGATTGTTTTTGAATGTTTGCAATATATTAATTAATTTATTGTTTTGTAATATGACGATCTATAATATATGGACCGTTTATTTAGAAAGTGGTGCAAGTCTATTTTCTATTGTTTCGAAAAAATGAAAGGTTCTATTTCTTAATTTGGCTGTTTCTTATCTGCCTTATTTTGCTCGTGCTTATTTAACCGATCTGTTAAATTTGTTATCTGTTATATTTTATTTTGTTCACTTATCTCTTCCCGCGCGCGTTCGATTGCCTATCCATCCGTTTCTTTCTTTTTCTTTTTCTTTTTCCTTTTTTACATTCTTCATTTTCTTCCCATTTCTTTTATTCTTTCGGTGACATGTTTATTCGAGAGCCAAGCGAAAGCCTATTCCCTCTATCTGTTTTTCTGTCAGTCTCTTCCTCTCTCTCTCTCTCTCTCTTTTTCTTTTTCTTTTTCACTCCAATCCTTTCACCCAATCCACTATCTTCGTCATTATAAGGTAGTCTTCCTTTTTACAGTGGGACGTATTGCACCTGATAGCGTATAATTCCCAAGTGAAATGTTGCCGCTAAAGAAACACGCGACTGTCTTCTTCTTGACATTGCCGTCGTCTTTGTCTTCGGTTTCGTCGTCATCGTCGTGCTATATAATATGGTTGTGTGGTATTAGTCGCATTTTACGCATGCGCCGTCGAGAATCGAGACAGGTAGATTACCGTACTTATTGATTTTCGTAAAACGAGCAAACTTACGGATAGCGTGTCACCGGTATGCATTACCCATACCAGCGTCAAGTTTTAATTTCATTTCGCTCGGGTAACTCTCGTACATTGTGCGCGCATGAGCGCAAGCGTTTCCATACACACACACGCACGCACATACACACAACATATATATACGGTACCTAACGAGAATCAAGTGCATTGTACGTGTCTCTACTGGAACGGAATATATTATAATATGTATATATGTATATATTCTTCTAACGGATAAATGTGGTTTAGTCGACAAGAAAGTAGTTCCGTCAAGAATGCCTTGCTTATTTAAAATGAAAATTGAAATGATTTAGATAACGAAAATGGTTATTTCCCCACTCGATCGTCGAGTTAATATAACTTTCTTGTTATTATAGATTCGTATTTATATACAGATACAAGGTAAGTGTGTGTGTATCAATATTAGTTTATATGTTCTAACAACTATTCTCGTTTTTTGGAAACTATTATAAAAGATAAGTTACGACAAAGAATAATTTTTTTTTTATATCATTCATGCCTTCTTTGTTAACTTTACCCACGGTCACAATTTTTTCTCTTGAAAACTTTTTTTCTTATCTTTCGGAACGAGAAGTTTAATTTATGCGCGAGCGCACGTTGGTGCACGCTGTACGAGCGCGAAATAACGATGTAACGTGTACCGCAGAAAAAGAATGTGCTGTAAATTTTTTGCCTATCATGTGCTGACTTGGTTTTTTAGAATTTTGTCTATCGACGAGAATGAGAGAGAGAGAGAGAGAGAGAGAGAGAGAGAGAGAGATTTTTCAACTAGAAATGCAAGTTCATGTACACTGTTCAAATATATTTATTTGTTTTATTACTTTTTTTTTTTACAAGAAACGCGGATATAAATTTGATATCATTATTTCATTTTTTTTAGAT